AGGGTGCATAGTGACAGGGTGCATAGTGACAGGGTGCATAGTGACAGGGTGCATAGTGACAGGGTGCATAGTGACAGGGTGCATAGTGACAGGGTGCATAGTGACAGGGTGCATAGTGACAGGGTGCATAGTGACAGGGTGCATAGTGACAGGGTGCATAGTGACAGGGTGCCCATCGCTGTCTCTATAGTATGAATTTAGAAATGTATAACTACTGTTTTTTTTTTCAGGCAAGGCCAACAAACGTATCAACTTAATTCCTACACCAGCGCACATCTGCACAGTTTTATATATAACTTTCCCATGTACTTGACCTTTCGTGTTGACGAGAAGTTATCAAAAGATGGCGGCTCACGTTACGGTCTTTGACATTTTCAAGAGCCTCAAAGTTTTCCAGCATTGGCATAGCGGTCACAGTGCATTCTAGTTTGTTTGGAGCAGTGGCGCATGTGAGGTAGGGGGTGGGGGTGGTTGTTTTTTAATAGACATTTTATTTTATTTAAGTTTGACAGGCTACTGGAATAATATGCTAATTATCGAGTAAGGAAATGAGAAAATAGATACAAAAATGGTTGATAAATAAATTCATAAAACTACGTTCAGACTTCTGAGACTGTTCACTGAGTGAGGAGAATGTTAAAAAAAAACCTTTCGTTAACAGTTTTGTCATGGCGGAGGGGGGGGGTATTTATTGATGTAATTTAGTTGTTGAATTTGTTTAAATATTATTTAAATAACAGTTTATGCAAATGTACTTTATCTCACTAGTTTCAAACCTCATCATCTCACCACATTTCCTCCGCTTAACTGACAACACATCATCTCTACCTCTTACCTACCCTCAAAAAAAAACATAATGTCTGCCTATTACCCCCCCCCCCCCAATAACAAATAATCTTTTTGTTACCTCCCCTCTACTTATTACCTCCCCTCAACTAACAACTCATCTCTACCTATTGCCTCCCCTCAATCAACAACATAATCTCTGCCTATTACCTCCCCCCTCTAATAACAAATAATCTTTTTGTTACCTCCCCTCTACCTATTGCCTCCCCTCAATCAACACATAATTTCTACCTATTACCTCCCCTCTACTTATTACCTCCCCTCAATCAACAACACATAATTTCTACCTATTACCTCCCCTCTACTTATTACCTCCCCTCAATCAACAACACATAATTTCTACCTATTACCTCCCCTCTACTTATTACCTCCCCTCAATCAACAACACATAATTTCTACCTATTACCTCCCCTCAACCAACAACATAATCTCTGCCTATTAACCTCCCCCCTCTAATAACAAATAATCTTTTTGTTACCTCTCCTCTATCTATTATCTCCCCTCAACCAACAACACAATCTCTATTAACTCTCCTCGACTAACACATTACCCTAACCTATTACCTCCCCTCAACTAACAACATAATTTCTACCTGTTACTTCCCTTCAACTAACAACACATCATTTTCCCCCATTCTCTACCACTCACTTAACAAAACATCTCTCTTTACCTCTCCATCAGCTTACAAAAACCCCAATATTTTAAACACACTACAGATGAAATCAACTCACACACACATATATTAGAAGAGCCAACAAGGAAAACTGATCACAAAATACCTAATCCATTTTATTATGAGACCACTTCATACACCAAACATAAACAAATAACTATACACATTATGATTGTATTCAATAATGTAAACAAGTCAGTACTGCCCCAATGATATGAGATGAAAACTATAACAAACTGCAAGGAAATACTGAATAGAAAAATGCAAACTTTAAGCAATCACAGACATTTGAAAAAAAAAATTAGAAAAAAAAACGGAATTTCTCTGTGTAGTAAAGAAATCCAGTTTCAATAAAATTATTTTAATAAATTGAGAACTGTTGATGTTAGGTTTAATAGAAGAAAAAAGATATGTCACTATATATTATTATATGATCATGATTTTCTACTGACTTAAACCAAACAGAAAATGTTATTCAAATAATAAAAATGTACATACACATTACCAACATTACATTGAAAATATTACTCAAACTAAATAACAATGCATTTTAATAAACCCTTTATAGAAACAGCATAAAAGGAGGAAACAGTATTGAAATAACTCAAACATGAACTAAAACTGGTAAGCCATTGTGTTTACATGCTGTAAGCCAGTGACAGTACAAAGTAAACAAAATAGCAACTTTTTTTTTTATAAAATATTTTTATAAGTATTTAAAAACTTGAATGGAAATATATTTTAATAACACTAACATTATTTATTATATGAACAATTAAGCTGTTAAGATATGAACTTCAAAGAGTGGTTGTTTAAAAAATGTGTTAAATTACAAAGAAATCTAAAGAGTTAGTATTAACACAGCACATAATCCAGCAATTGATCAATATCAACATACAAAAATACATATTTCAACAACTTAAGATTGATCTAGTTATTACTGGTGAGTCACACATGTATCATGTCAGAACTAAACTATGCAGACGTATGCCCTATCTCAGTACAAGTTTTTAAACTGTTGCATGACCAAGATGTACTATCAAAATGAGGTAAAGACTTAATGAATTAAGAAACTTTTACTCTAAGCCAGTGGCGTAGCGAGGTCGGGTGCACCGGTGCGGCACTTATTGGTGTCACCCCCCAAAGGCGTAGCTACTTCCCGGGGACAATTTTCAATTTGCACCCCCCCCCCCCCTCAAACTTTCGATTTGCACCCCCCCCCCTCAAGTTTTTCTCTATATATTTTGCTATTTTTTGCCTTGGTGTCACCCCCTAAATGGTGTCACCCGGTGTGGTCCGCATCCCCGCCCCCCTCGCTACGCCTCTGCTCTAAGCATATTCATTTCTTAATGTTTATACATGCACTGAATCTTAAAGAAATAAACAAATACATTGTAATATGATATAAAAATGATATTATGATGATTTTGTTACTTTAAGATATAATGTGTATAAACTAAGTCAAATGCAGTATTTAAAAAAAATTGCTAGTAAATGTAACTACAGTTTACAAGCTGGCCAGTGTATATCTAAAGTCACTAACCAAATGCATCTTTATCACACAGTATCACAAACTTCATCTTAATGCAACTTATATGAAATCATAAAGGCCTTCATTTAAAATGCAAAAATATAGATCAAAATTTTAAAGATCCATCCATGAATTTCAGTGAAAAGTTAAAAGTTACAATCAATTTATTTTATAAACCACAGTGATTTGAAATCTGGGTAAAGTTTACATTATTTAATTGAATTTTTGTAAAATTAATTGGCATAAAAAATATACATGATAACACCTGTTTGAAATTGGAAAATGAAACAAAGTTTTAAACTCCAAAAAAGCTTGAATGAATTTTAATATAATCCATAACATTTTTATAGTTTCACTGTTTTATTTCTTTTTAAATAAACATTAGCCCAATGAAAATTTTCAAATCATGAACAAATTATAAAGTTGTACATTTCTTTTTTTTGGTAAGAGCTATTTATTTGTTCCCTTTCATTCATTAAAGATTGCAATATTATAAAAATGAAACAGAGAAAAGAGCAATTTCTTTCTAACAGCTACCTTAGATTACTTGCCCAATGTGAATTGTGATTATAGCCTATCAGTGTTCATCTCAAAATCATAAATGGCATCACTTGATAAAAGAAGAAAAGAAGTAAGTCATGCATGTGCTATAGGATTGAAAAAAATAACAGAAAAATTCAAAGATAAAACTAAAACTAAATTAGTTTTGAATAGAGCTCTTTTATAAATGTTGCATACTTAAACACAAAACAAAAAACGTTTTACTAAAATGTATACTTTCCTACATGATATTCCCCCTCAAACTAGTAGCTGTATGTTCATTTATTTAGGGACTAATGTTCACAGTAAGAATATTTTATATAGTAAGAAAAGTATGATAAAAAGATTTCTATTTAAAGAAGTTAAAGGCTACTAAAGTATGTAACTTAATACAAAAACAAAACAACATTGGTTTTATATTTGTTTGGTAAGTTTGCCTGAACAAGTTTAAATATAGAAATAAATAAATCAAATATTTTAAATTTCAAAATAATTTCTTTTCAGATAACAAACAAGAAATATAAAATACCTGAAATTTTAAATTGAATTTTATTGTTTGTTATGGATTTGTGAAAAAAACCACACTTTTAAAACAAAGTCTTAAAAGATGTTTCATTCTTTTCTATTTTTTTTTACAACAAAATGTTTACCATGCTAAAAAAAAATCTCCAAATGTAAAGTAAATGAATAAGTTAATCTTAAATGAAGCAGCAAAAATAATCAATGCTTTATATTATTTTTTAAATTCTAGCACATAAACAGTTCTTCAATGCTTCCTAAATTATGATTTTTTTAATTTGATAAGAAATTATCTAGATAAAAAAAAAGAAATTGCATAGTTTAAGTAGGCAAACATTTTGTACTTTTAAGCATATGTAAAGCCAATCTTTTGCCTGATAAATTATAATGCCCTGTAGTGCATGTTGATTTAAACCATAGTTTTTAATCTGACAATGACTTGAATTTACTTAAATCAAGAAAGCAACAATCAAACGGAAATATTGAGAAGACATAGTTTTTAAACTGCTCCAATCATTAGAGCAAAAAACATGGAAATATTGAAAAGACTAGAAACAAAAAATATATTACAAACAAGCTTGATAAGATTATTTCAAAACTAAATAAATATTATGACAAGATAGCTTTGTTAAAAACAAGAACTGTCAAAAATGACAGAAAAACTGAAAATAGTAATAAACACGGGATCCCCATATGATTGTGTTTTACACTTTCAACATTATGGAAATAGCAGTCTGTATACACATTAATTCAAAAAATATTTTTAATGTCTGTTTAAAATATTTCATATTGATTTTCACTCTGATGAAGTACTAAGGCTAAGATATCATTTGTTGTGTTTTGTTGAGATGGCTAACTTTTCCACCAATTTATTTTTTCTTTGAATGTGATAATGGCTTAAGCCTAAAGGAAACCCTAAAATTTGTGGAAATAGTAAATCCAGTTTTTCTACTTATTCGTTTTATATGAAGCCCAAAGAAATACACTGTTGAGATAATTGTAGAAAAAATAACAGCCAAGAAAATGAGTGTACCATATCAATCTGTTCAGATGTTGACTATAATGTTTGAAAAACATCAATCAGTGTATTAAAAAAGTTAATAGAAATGAAACACAAATAAAACTGTTGGTCAAATGATAAGCATTAAATTAAAAAAGTCTTTTTAATGCTTTTCTGGCGTGGCGGTGACACGGGCTGTTAGTCTGCGATTTCTCAGCGCAGCAACTGCATCAGTTGTGTCATATATCCTCTCAAAGTAATCCACCAGCGACGGCTCGGTTAGTAAGGAAGCCAGCAACTGTTCAAAAGAAATGGACCAATCCTCATCAGGTTTGCTTGTATTTTTGGGCGAGTTAAGACCTGTGTCAGCAGGCTTTAAATACTGTGGCGCGGCCTCTGTGAATTTTGCTGCTCCTTCAGTAGCAGCATCTGATTGCGTGTTATCTTTAACTTCTACATTCTGTACGTCACCTTGAGCTCCAGCCCCTGCTACTATTTCACCTTTTACTATTCCATTTTCCTCTTGACCTTCATTACACTTTTCTACTGAAGGCTCTTCTTTCCCAGGAGATAGGAATTTCTTCTCAGACAATGGGCTGGATCCTTCCAGTTCAGACAAGGCTGATGAGGAACTTGAAAGCCGGAATCTTTTCCCCACTTCCCCAATCTGGAGCAGCAACGTCCCGACAGTGGCGATGCTGTGGTACAGCTGCTGCTCGCAGGCGTTGTCTGTGAACATGTCATACAGCGTGCGCAGCATTTGGATAAACTGGATCTGTAACAGGCAGACAGGATGACATTTAGTACAGGTAGATACAAATTACTTGTATTATCACTGGCAAGTGAATGAAGTTAAAAATTATCACTTTCTATATAACTATTGGGGTGGCGATACCAGCCAAAAAGTTTTAAATGTGTTTTAAAGTTTTAAATATTTCTGGTCAAGATAGATTTTTTTTAAAGTTTGAGAATACCAACAGGCATGGAGCGTATTTTTTGGAAATGCAAAGCACAAAAACATTACTAAACAAATGTTAATTTACCAGAATTTACAAATTTCTAGGTATATGGTATGACCCATTTTAATCTATTATAAGAATAAACCAATAAGTGTTTTTGGCTTGTTTTATAGCAGATCTGAATGCTTGTTTGATAACAAGGCCACGTAGTCACAGTAGATTTTTGTGTCCAAACACTTCATTTTAGATTTATGTTAAAAACAGTAATTGTTCCTTTTAATAACTATTTTAGTTACAGGAGAAAATGAGTTGAATGAGGTTGGGTTGTTAAAACTTACATAAAATACCAAACAGAAATTTATTTAAAAAGTTATGAAAATTTATCAAGCAAAAATTTTAAATTTGACCTGGTTCATCCTCGGGAGATTGGCAAACTCTTCTCTCCTTGCACCTCTCACCAGCTTTGGGATGACTTTTGTTGGGAGAGTTATCTGCCTTGGGGTATCTGTGATTATATCAGAAGAGTTGTACATTTTTTTAACTTCGATTAAGCACTGCATATACTTGATGATCATTTATTAATTTTTGATTTAACTTTAATTAGAGTACTAATGGTAAGTAGTTTTATATTTTAATTTTCAGAACTGACCTAAATAGTTAACCATATGGCATGTTTATAACACAAATGAAATAGTTTTTAGATATAATTTAAAATTTGGTAGCAAGCTTTTTTGCTGATAACCTCATCAGTTATATCTTAAAATGGGATGTTCAATAGGGATTGAGTGCCCGATTTAATAATTTGGGGTTTCTTTTTCTTTTATGATAGTTAGAGCTGGTCAATTTCCATAGAAAGTAAAATAATGTACAACTGCACTTAAAATTGATTAATACTTTCCATTAACTGTCACTAATATGATAAAAGATATCATAAAATATCATAAAACAAATAGAATTTCAATGCAGTAATACCAAAGACTGCCACTTACTTACAACATGAGAATTTGAAAACTTATTTACTATATAAAATAATATACCTTTCACAAGTTTATCAGGACGTTTGGCAGGAGTTACATCCTCTTTGAGTTCCTGACTGACTTCCCCTGAATCAATACTGCTGTTTGCATTTTCTTCCAATGATGCTTTCTTCTCAACTTTATCCACATCCAAACTTTTGTCAGTGTCCGATGTGCTGTTCTCCTCGTCTTCATCTTCATCATCATCAGGGACCCCCACCACACGAACCATCTCAACCATTGGTGTTCTAGGATCTACACTGGAACTATCAGGCTTGACTTCAATAGGTCGAGGGGCAATTGGTGAACTGTCTGAAGGGTCATATGGCAGCCTTGGCAGTTCTAAATCTATTTAAATATATCAGGGATTTAAATTTTAAAAACTTTACCATAGATCTATGAAACAAATTATTAAATTCTCCTATCAATTTGTCTCAAAAGGTATATATATATAAATTCTTACTAAAACTAAACATACTAACATATATAGATATCTTTCTGTTACTTAAATAAAAGTAGAAATAATAATCCAAAAAAAAAAAAAAACCAATGATAAATTTTAAAACCATTCCCAAAAAAAACCTATAAGAAAAACATTTAATGCTAGTATGATTTCTCTTTATAAGCCTAGTTAACAGCAAAAACATTATTTTAAAATCTTTATCATTAAAGGTAAGTAACAATATTTTTGTCAAGAGTTGTCTACCATCATCTGCAGGGGTCTCTGGTGTGCTGGTGTTGTCATCAAAAAAATCTGCAGCATCAACTGCTGCTTCCACAGAATCTGCAACACATTTTACTAAATGATAGACTGGAAATCTTAAAAGTTTATTACAATTTTAATAAACAGGTTTTTTACAAGCACTTGCTCATAAAAACAAATATAAAACGAATAATAAAATTCTTCAGGTGAAATCAATGTATGTTAATTTTGTTTCTATAAAGAATGCAGTTAATTTGTCCAGATAATTAAAGACTGATTATTACAAAATTATCAATTTAATTCAAAATTTCAAAATAAAACTAGATATTTTTACTATGTAGAGAATTCAAATTTTAGATGGGGTTGGAAGTATTGAAAGTTTACTTCAAACTAAATTAACTATTAGCATTGGCTTCAGTAGCAATGTTTAAAATAAAGAAAGATGTAAATGGCATAAAGTTAAACATTTCATCTGTACAAATCTTATTTATACCCAAATACTTTGATAAATTAAAAATCTGTACCGGATATAAATAACTAGATAAAAACTAAACAAGATGGCTACCCTGGTGCTTACCAGATTTAGGAGAAGCTGGTGAATCATCCAACTGATCTGTTGGCAGCAGTGCAGGGGGCAGATGGAGCAGGTATAGAAGTTTGATTCGTTGTGTTATATCAGATTTACACATTGTTCCCAGGGCGCTAACAAATTCTTTGAAGTTTATCAAATTATCTTTGTTTTCATCTAACAACTAGAACAGTAAATAAAAGAGTATTTTTTAAAAATCAATGCTGAGAAAATGTACAGGTTAAAAGTTAAAAATAAATAAAGTGACTCAAAAATCACTCAAAGGGACATAATGACTTTTTTAGAAAGATGATTAATTAGTAGAATTGGACCATTTTTCAATTATTTTAGTACAAAATATTTGATTTTTTAAATAAATATTTGAAGATGCTATCTATTTGGATTTCTAATATATATACATATAATACTATTTTATTGGGATGGTGTTTATTATTGTGGTTTGATGATGTTAAGAGATATTATTATTATCAGTTCAAACAGCCTTGAAAAAAATGTTACCCTAAATGTTCGTAGAGCTAAAGTTGTAGAATACTGTCCTGTTGCCCAAGGAGACAGAGAGAGGAACAAAGTTTTGAATTGATCAAAGTCCACTTTATACTGGTCAAAGTAAGGTCTGTTTGGGTCATATTTGTCTGGTGTATCCACTTGGTGATGTGTTCTCCAGTAGCAGGAGGTAAGATATTCTTCCTACAAAAATAAAATGTGTGTATTTATAAGCAAGGCAATAATTCATATTTTTAAATATGTTGCGTACAATAATGTGAAGTAATATTCAAGCCAAATACCTTAAATAGAAAATATAAATCTTCAAGTTCCTTTCCTTCAAATTTAGTGTAAACCGCAACACTTCGAAGAATATTTCTTTTCACACTATCTTCAATAGTCTATTGTACAAAACAGAAACATAACAATCAGGTTTTTATAGAAATAGAAATAATAATTTAATATCTTGTTTAAAAAGGCGAAAGAAGTACAAAAATAAATTTAAAAAAATGATTCTATTTTTTAATTCCCACCTCCTATTTTGCAGGGCATTACTACTTATTGAAATGTTATAGATTCTAATTTGGAGCTTGGACAATCGATCATTATAACAGATACCACCATTATTACCTGCACAACTTTTAGCCTGTGTTTTAATCGCAACTTATTAATATCCTGATTGGTGATGGTCCAGAATTTTTGATAGCTCTGCTGAATGATGTCAGCAATATCCACTGTGTTCTAGATAATTCAATTCAATTAGGAAAAATGTCTTTTTAAATTAAACAATCAAAATTTAATCTGTAACAGAACAAAAAAAAAATATTTGTCATCTAAGAAGCTGAGTTTGCTGTTTTTTATATTTACTACAGCATGTGTTATGATTTTATAGTGATACTATTGTTATTAAAAAAACAACTGTTAACTAGATAACTTAATGATTAAGAAAATAGTCTTGCTATAAGATACATTGTTTAGAAAAAAAAAATTCAAATTAATTAATTAAACATTTTCTTACTTCTCATGTAGTGCTGCCAGAAGCTTACCTCTTTACCTGCCATACCACTGGCATTGGCAGTATGCATGATGTTGGGAGTGGTGGAGTTGCTGTTGTCGATGTTGTCCAGAAACTCACATAGGATAGCCATTGCCTCCCCATCCTCATTGCATTTTAACAAATCTTCTTGTTTGTTGTCTAAGATGGTTAGGGCGACTTGAAAGATCACCTGTAGAACACCAAACCCCACATTACTGTTAATTTAGTTTCAGTAGCAACAGTAAATTTAAATAGACCTGAACGATAATTTTAGATTAACATTTATTAATAAACTAGTTTACCCTAGCTCCATCATAGAAAAAGCAATCCAATATATTGACTGCACAGTTGAAAGGCATCACACTGAAGATGTTTTAATAAATTGCTATGTCAGATTACAACAATATAGAATTTATATCTATTATCAGTCTAAATACACATTTTTAATGGCTTACTTAATGATAAGTTTAATAAAAGTCAATAAGAAAGTTAAAATTTTTTAACATTTAAAAAAAATTAGATCTTAATATAATAAAATCCCTTATTCATACTACGCAGCAGTATTTTAAAATAACATCTTTAAAAAGAAAATCTTTTGGAATATTAAACCCTTGCCTTTGCAAATGCTCTAACTTTAAATTTACATATAAGTATAAGCCTCTAATGTTAATATTACCATTTATACAACTGCCTAATTAAAGATTTTTTAAAATAGTCTAATTATATTGCATACAAATACTACAGAATTATGGTACCTTAAAAATATGGTAAGAAACCATGAAAGTGATATCATGCTAAGAAGACCAAGGGTATCCAGTTTAACATGAATAGTAGGCAGGTAGCCAGAAATGAGGTCCTCAAATACTCCTGATAGATAGGATAAAAAACAAATAATTCTTTCATATAGGGCCTAAAAATGTCAAGATATAGTTCAAAATAAATTATGGAAACAGTTTCATGTGTATTTAATACCGAGGTGGAAAGTCAAGAGATAAAGAGCTAAACTGTCCTAAGTTGGGATCTTGGATTCAAGTCTGTAGGACATTAAGTCCACACAGCTTTGGTGGGTACCGGACTGTAGGGGTACCCGAATGACGGTACCTGACTGATGGTAGGGAAAGTAAATGTGACTGGACCATTCTTTCATGTCATGGTCAAGATGAACTCCACTTCATCAACCCTAGGGATCTAAATGGGAAATTTACGTTTTACTTTATAAAATACCTATACAACTACTATACATGTGTTATTTTTCTTTACTATAAATGCACAAGGATTTTAATATATATGGTGCAGTAACCCCTTAAGAACTTAAATTACTTAAGCATAAAAAATATAAGTTGATTGCAGTTGAAAACCTCGTTGGCAACAGGTGTGCAATACCTTGATCAATGAGTGCCCCCACAACCTTTGTGTTGTAGTGAATGCAATACCTTGATCAATGAGTGCTTTGTGTTGTAGTGAATGCAATACCTTGATCAATGAGTGCCCCCACAACCTTTGTGTTGTAGTGAATGCAATACCTTGATCAATGAGTGCTTTGTGTTGTAGTGAATTCAATACCTTGATCAATGAGTGCTTTGTGTTGTAGTGAATTCAATACCTTGATCAATGAGTGCTTTGTGTTGTAGTGAATGCAATACCTTGATCAATGAGTGCTTTGTGTTGTAGTGAATTCAATACCTTGATCAATGAGTGCTTTGTGTTGTAGTGAATTCAATACCTTGATCAATGAGTGCTTTGTGTTGTAGTGAATGCAATACCTTGATCAATGAGTGCTTTGTGTTGTAGTGAATGCAATACCTTGATCAATGAGTGCTTTGTGTTGTAGTGAATTCAATACCTTGATCAATGAGTGCTTTGTGTTGTAGTGAATTCAATACCTTGATCAATGAGTGCTTTGTGTTGTAGTGAATGCAATACCTTGATCAATGAGTGCTTTGTGTTGTAGTGAATTCAATACCTTGATCAATGAGTGCTTTGTGTTGTAGTGAATTCAATACCTTGATCAATGAGTGCTTTGTGTTGTAGTGAATGCAATACCTTGATCAATGAGTGCGTTGTGTTGTAGTGAATGCAATACCTTGATCAATGAGTGCTTTGTGTTGTAGTGAATTCAATACCTTGATCAATGAGTGCTCCCACAACCTTTGTGTTGTAGTGAATGCAATACCTTGATCAATGAGTGCCCCCACAACCTTTGTGTTGTAGTGAATGCAATACCTTGATCAATGAGTGCCCCCACAACCTTTGTGTTGTAGTAGTCAGGCAGTAATCTCTCACAGATGGCCGTCAACAGCCAGAAAGCTTCCTCCTCATTCACATACAACAACAGCACACTGGTGACAATGTTCATGGCCTGACAGTACCCTGAGGGTAGAAAAGGTTCATTTTGGAATAAACATACAACAGCTCAATGGTAATAGTGATAGTAATAGTGATAACAATGTTCATAGTACTCTGAGATTGCGCTAACAGTGGTTAATTTTGTAATACACCATTTTTTTGTTTGTTTTAGACTCCATTGAATTGAATCTTTAAAGTAAAATATGTACAGCAAAACATGCATTGAAAAATAATTATTTGATTCCATTGAACATTATTGAGTTGATCAAGCTCTGTTTTGCATTTGAAGTATTTGAAGGGGAGTGGTGTAAAAATCTCATAGCCCAAACCATGCTCACACAGAACTTGTGTAAACCACTGTATTCTCAAAAGGACTTGTTGTAAAGTAGGTTTAGATTTGTTTTTAAAAATATTCAGACATAAAAACTCACCAATATTTGGATTTCTCCAGGCATAAGCAGTAAGGACCCGCCTTAGTGCTCCAATACCTCGGTCTGTTTGAAAAGCTGGATGTTCAGGTAGAGACCTGAGGTTGACGTAATTATTGGAATTATAACAAAACATTAATAAACAAAATAGAATTTTTGATCGTTCAAATACAATATAATAATTAAAAGTATTTTTTATTTATATGATAAATTATTTAAGATAATTAATTTAATGACCAATAATTTCTAATATTATATAATTTTCATTTTGATAGCAAATCAATTTTTTAGTATTAACATGAATGTGTTGTCTAGAATTTATAATTTATTTCAATAAAAATTTTATTGGTTTTGAAAATTTATGGATAAAGTATATTGACCTGTGCAAGTCTCTTTCTATCTCATCAGTGGCAATGGAAGAGTGGCCCATACTCTGTTTGACTATTTCAGCATAGTAATTTGGGTGTGTAGCCATCTTTAAAAAAACATAATTTAAATCAATTTTAAATAGTTAAAAACTTAGGAGTGATATTTGAATGCACATTTTTATCTCTTCTAATAAAGAAAACTATTTTGTAATTTGCTAACTTAAAACTTTTTTTCCTTCTTAGAAAAATAAAAACAAGTTTTTGGCATGTCCTGGAATACATTTTTTGTATAAATTAGCACCAAAAATGTTTTCTATTCCCATAATGTTTGTGTATCAATAACAAATAAAAGTCTAATTTATTATACAGTTGCCAGTACCTCATTAACAGCTCCAGAGAAGACCATCCACATCTCCCCCCTAAAACACTCAGGAATACCTTTGAGAACAAGCTTGTGGGTATCATGAGTTCTATACATGCACATGCCTCTGTTAGAAAAATACAAAGATTATCTTTTAGTCAAATTACTGTATAACTTTTATCCATTTAGATAACTGATGTAACTAGAAAATTAGCATATTTTCACTTTATAACATACCACATTTGGCTAAGTATTTGGGGGGATGAGAGGGGATTTGTGTTAGTATTTGGAATGTATTATTCACACAACAAATACTTCATAAACCATTTTAAAAATACTGTAAAAAAAATTCAGCTTTGACATAAAATAGAATGAATACAATTTTTTTCAGGTTTTTTTTCAAGATATATCACAATATGAATAAATGAATAATACCAAAGTAGAATGGCTTTATTTTAATTTTACCTTCCGAATTCAGCAAAATGTAAGTTCCACAGGTGTTCTTTAGCTGCTTCCTTAGCCTCATCTTTTGGTGACATCTCTTTGCTTGCAAATAGGCTCATTAATGCTGGCTGGAAATCAATCTCTCCTATAAAAAGTTTAATTTTTTAGTGTTTAGATTTATACAAAGTATAGGCCTAAATATTTAAATTTAAAAAATTTTGAATTTTAAAATACAAATTAAATAAAAAAATCTAAAAATCTAAACTTGTTCATCTAGTAATAATAGGGTTATAATAAATACCAACCTTGATCAGAAGACTTATCATCTGACACACTTGCACTGATAAAAAATAAATTAATAATTAACTAAGGAATTGGTGTAGGTTTTAGCCATCTAAGAAGTAGCGTAGGATAACGTTAACAACACTTGTAATTATTTGTAGTTTTAACTAATTAGAATTAACTAAAAAAAGCAACCATAAAATTGTTATGTGTTAACAAATAAGTATGTATTCAAAGCATAAAAAACATCTTTAAAATAATAACTTACCGTTGTACAATAGGCTGCTTGGACAGAAAATCTGATATTTTTTCAAGTATGAGGTTGCGATCTTGAAATTCAGAAAATGTGAAGTTTGTCTGTGAATGATCAATTATACTTATATTTTAAAAAGGTATAATTTTTTTAGAAATCAACAGATGGGCTTAGCTTTTATTAGCAAAACAGAGCAAAATATTGAATTACATAACATAATTATAAAAAAATTGTTGTCTCAGTTAACCATTTATCTTTTTCTAAGATGGTGCTGTAATTATATTATCTTTCTTTGATAGCAGAAAACTAAATTACCTTGTTCTTTGTTGTAACAAGGATAGCTTTGTTAATGAGATTTCCAGAAACTGAATTATCTATCCTTTCAGCCACTGATATATCTCTCATTGGAATAGTGAGCATGACCAAGTCCTTGACCTGAAATGTAAAAGTACATACCAAGCTACAAAAGTTATCATTAACTAAGTAAGCACCTCATATTTTTACTAATATTAACAAAGATGTAAAGAAAACTACAGCTGATCCCTGTGAACATCCACCAGAAAATTAAGTTGCAAGCTTACATCAAATCTGGTTTTATTCTTTCTAACAACAGCCTCAGGTTGCATCAAATCTAGTTTAAATCTTTCTAACAAATAAAACAACAGTTGAACTCTCTAGCTTTGCAGCAAGTGACTGTTGGAAATCCATTACCCAATTTCCACCAAATCTATTTCATTATTTATTACTCACCCTGCTAGCGAAGCACATGTAGTTATTTGACAGATACAGCTTCCCCCAAACATGTTGTTTGTTGAAGGGGGTCCAGAGAGTGCATTCTTCATCTCCGTCAAGCTTTTCGGTCAGAGGAAGGCGGAATGCTAGCCTGTCAAAATTAGTTTTTATAATAACAACTCAGCATAAGCCTGTGAGTGATTTAGTTTTTCTTTAACTTTTTGATTGATAAATATATTGAAAAAAAAACACGAATGAAGCTTAAAATATATTAATAGGTTTTTTCTATTTATGGTTACTCTTAAAAATATGAAAGCTGATTTAAAAAGAATAATAAAATAATCATGGTGTATATGGATAACAGTAGAAAATGTTAAATGTGATCTTTACGGTAAAACTTACCTAAACCTTTCACTTCTAGCTTTGGCATCTAAATCCCTTTTCAAAACTGAAATTTTCTTGCGTTTTCTTTTACGTTTATGAAACAACATTTATAAAATAATTATACTAATAAACATTGTCAAACATTCTAGTTTAAAATCAAACATAAAAACTGACAAACAGTAACATGACAATATTTCAGAAAATTAAAACATAGAGTAAAATTTTTAAGAACACTTGACTAAAATACTAACTTAGTAGATTTTATTTTAGAAGCCAGAGATTTATCTTCTTGGAATCCTGGTTCTTGCATCAATCTGAAAATAAGAAATGAAATTGAATACAACTGCATTGTATTATAATACTAACTGAACTAAACAAAATCAGATCTTTCAAGTTAGCAAAGTAGTTCTATTAAATCAATAGCACTGTGGACTCACTGCTTCATAGCCATGTTGGCTAACTGCTCCATTAGATTAAAAGTTTCATCACTGTGTAACAGCATTGAGAAGTAATGCTGAAAATAAAAACATGACATTCATCTTACAGCAGTGATAATTTAAGCTTAAATTTTAAAAAGTTTGTGTCGGATTATATTTGAAGCTAACAAATGGAAACAAATTTAAAGAATTATTTTTAAAGTGTAAGTGGCTTATAACACAACATAAGAGACAGCATGACTTACATATCCATCTCTTGTAGAAACTTTGACACTGTCTGGCAGCAGCATGTTGTTGCCACGCTCCAGTTTCTATTGTTGGTCATTGAAAAATTATACAGTTTTTGTCAATATTTGTTTTTATAATAATGTGATTTATATTAAATTATTTTACTGTAATACTTAAAAAAAGATTAATACATTTCAATTTGCCATCTATATAATTTTTAAAAATACATTGTGTTTGGGCTTTCAGGGTACTGATTTAACCAGTCATACATTCAAACGGACAATAACATGACAGGATGCTATACTGAGTCTGAAGTTTATTCACAGTCACTTGGTTGAGTTACATGCACAATATGGGTTTCTTCATCAGTTACTCTCATACACATCCTAACACTATGAGATCACTGAAATGACCTTTAAATAACTGTATTAGAATAAGCACTTACTGTGATATCAGCCCATCTGAGAATTAGTTTGGCTTCTTTACCCATAAGGAATGAATAGAAGCAGAGATGGTTGACACTGAGATACATCCAGCCCTGCCTAGGGAGGTTGCCTTTCCAGTAGCTGCAGGAATAGTCTGAAATAAAATAAAGTGATCACAGTAGAACAAGACAAATTATTCTAGACATTTTGAACTATGCTTGTGTTTGACAAATCTATGTGGCTAATATTTCAATAACAATTTAATAACAGCTTAACTTTGAAAGTAACCTGTTAAGTTGTGTTAAACTTAACACTGAGATGACTAAAAGTGTATAAATGTGTGTTTATTAATGTTCAACATGTATTAAAAAAGTATTAGATTTGAAAGCAAAACCATTTTTTTGTGAAATGGTGTCAATTAAAGCTGTTTTAATAGGAGGGCTTAAATACCACACTATCTGGAATTGTGTTTTAAAGATTAGAAAATGTTAGGAGAGTCCAGAGACAAATCCCAACTTACGGTTAACCAGCTTTTCCTCTTTAGGCATGTTGAAATACTTTCTAAACTTTTTGGTGGAAGTTCTAAGATCTTCAACCTCTTCATCTAATAAAATTTAGAATTTCCCATTTTAAAAAATTAAATTAGAACATAAAATTAAAATTACAATCACAAATTAAATGCCTATTTTTTTTTTAAAAAAAAAGGTATCTAGAAAGAAGTAACAATTTGCTCTCAGTAGCTAAATATTTAAAAAAACTGAAATAAATTCCTTAACTAACTTAAAAAAAAAAGCTTCACCTTCTTTTGATACTTCCACATTGGCCAACAAACTCTCAATTTTACACTTGATGAATTCAGTAACGTCATCATCATTATCAAAAGCGGCTGTAGATCAAACACAAATATATATTTTAGTAACTACTAAGGGAGACAAATTCATTTAATTACTTAATAGCTTGTTAATACCTAAAGAAGAACACGAGAAAACTTTATTTAACTGGGTAGAATGGTGGAAAAGTTAATACGCTTAGTATTACATATAGTATAGTTTGCTGAAGTGGTATAGCTAAGCCAATTTATTAAAATAGAAGTGTATATATAATGTATTAAATACTTATAAATAAAATAAGATTTCTCAGATATGAATGGGTAGATTGGTTGGGGAAGAAATAAGTACACATATAAGCCTTTAATAAGACAAATAATCTAGGCCAGGGGTCGGCAACCTGCGGCTCGCGAGCCGCATGCGGCTCTTTTGATATCAAGATGCGGCTCTCCAGCTCCTTGCACAAATACAAATAATCTTAATAAAAAATAAAATATTTGAAATTAAAAAGTGTTAGTGGCTCTTTAAAACCAAGGAAATTTTGAAAATTTTAACTTTTGGCTCTTCCGCTTCAAAAGGTTGCCAACCCCTGGTATAGACCCCTATTTAATCTCTAATTTTGCAAGGCATTTTTGGGGCTCCCACTGATATGCATATGTCCAATTGCACATATAATATATACCATACGGATATTATGGCTTGATCTAGTAACCAAGAGCTAAGCTCAAAATTGAAACATTGTTTGAATCTAAACATTTGTTATCCATGTAAAGTCTAGTCTTTTAACCTGAAAGTCTCAAGTTCGAATCGGGGTTCAAGTCCGTAGATTGCACTTGAGTCCTTGTAGCTCTTATGAGTAACTGATTCAAGTTAGGGAAAGTTGCGTGTTGACATACATAGAACTATAAAACAAGAATAAATTATGTCGAAACGACATCTTATTCACAACTAACGAAAAATTAACATATATTTATACCTATTTATTGTCTAATTAATATCAGTTACGTACATACTGTTGTTTATATCTACAAGTATTTTTATCTGTTACGGCTGAAGAATAATTTTTAACACATTGACGAACAGTGGACTTTTATAACAGATTAACTAAATCCGAATGGAATATCAAAAGCAGCAATATTTTATAATCTAAATTTGAAAAACATTTTTTTTTTTTAATTAAAAAAATAATTATCAAAGTATAATTTACTGTACGAGGTGAGCACATGAAAATCTGATTTATCAAGTGTCTATAAGTTGCGCACTAATAATAGCTAATGTGTTCATTTATAAGCAAAATAGAAAAAAATAAATGCATTTTTTTAACAGACATAAATATAACTCCAATTTTCAATAATAGTTTATATGTTTTACGAAAAAAAGGTGATAAAATTTACATTTACAATTAAAGTGTTTCACTAATCATAAACATCTAACCAATATTTATTTGTATAGGTTGCATCCCTTGAAAAAAATACTTGTTATAATGGGAAGTAACTTAGCAAAATTATTGTCGACTTGTTCCAGTGCTCGTTGCGTACGTTAAAAACATTGGCTCGTTAAAGTAGACAAAATAAAATAGACACGGTGCTAATATACTTCGAACACACTTCTGAGATCGTCACATCCATCACAACCTGCGGCTCGCGAGCCGCATGCGGCTCTTTTGATATCAAGATGCGGCTCTCCAGCTCCTTGCACAAATACAAATAATCTTAATAAAAAAATAAAATATTTGAAATTAAAAAGTGTTAGTGGCTCTTTAAAACCAAGGAAATTTTGAAAATTTTAACTTTTGGCTCTTCCGCTTCAAAAGGTTGCCGACCCCTGGTCTAGGTCCTTAATGTGAAACAATGGTTTCAAGTTTCAAACACATGCATTACATTTCTGCTATGTTATTACAAAGACTTACCACAAGTATTGACCACATTCACTTCCAGCCATTCCCAGTGTGTTTGTATCTCTCGTTTGTTATTTGCCTCAGCAATGGCTGGTGAAAATAAATTTAAAAAAAAACAACATAAGAGCGAAATTAATCTAAAAAAAATTAATAGAGTACATATTTTAGAAAACATTACTTAATTAAAAATTTATTTTGCTATAACTATAAGTAAAAAACCTACAATAGCTAAGTTCTGAGCCTTCAGTTTGATGGAGTATTCTGTAAGGACGTGTCTAGAACAAAATAATTTAAATAAATAAACATTAAATATTACAATTACAATCTCACATGAAAAAAAACAAAACATACTTTTAAAAATATCTGCTTATATTAAATTAACATTAAAATATGATAATTAAAATCTCAGAAGAAAATAAACAAACTGTTTTTAATACTATCTGTTTATTAAATGTTTTTAACATTATCCACTAATAGTTATATTAAAATTAAAACACGATTAAAAACAACAATGAAAATCTCACATGAAAATAAAATAAAATTATGTATTAATTATTACACTATCAGTGATGAAAAATAAAAAAATCCAACTACCTTGTTGTCAAGTACAGTATCAAGGGTTCCAACTAATAGTCCAGTTAGGCCACCACCACCATAGCCTTTACGGCGTTGAAGAACAAAAAAGGGATTGGCTCGTTCTGTTGCCCTGAGAAAAATAAAAAGCCATAATAATTTGTTCCATTATCATATAGGTAAGTTAGTTCACGTGATCAGATGACACAACTGCTCTATGGAAAGGAAATTTTTGTTGAAATCCTGGCAGGTAGTTTGGAAAGTAGAGGAAAGTTTGATATTATATAGATGGTTGGACACTGTACTGCCTAAATGATCTCATTACATGCTGTAGGTATAGATGTTAAAAACTCATTACATCTTACACTTTGTAATCTTAAGGTAACTGTACTGAATGATGTAGGAATGGTTTTTTTTTATATACCCCCCCCCCACTCACTCCATGGGCCTGTAAAATTACAAACATTTCCAGCTATAAGTTAAGGATTTCTGCTGGCCCTTTCAATTTCAATCACAATTTTAAACTCTTAGCACCTTTATGGGACTCCTTCTCCCCCACCTCTATATACTGACTATATATGTATATTAAGAGAGATTTTACTGGATTAAGAATTATTGTTAAAGAGGTCCTAATTAACAAAACTGCAGCATATGGTTTGACCTGATATTAAGGATTTGCTTATGCCATGACCAGCTGTCTGCTTCTATAAAAATGCTGATTGCAAAGTAACGAAAAGTGAAAAGTAGCTTTTTAATTTAGGGTATCATAATGTAGGTGAGGCACACAATGCACGCCTCATCCATTAGACAATACTCCTCTTTTGTATTCACAGGGAGCTTAAGTTGTGTATTATACTTCAAATATGATAGCGGTTAAATCAATAAAGCACACATTTTCTTTACAAATATCTACATATTGTGTGACAATAAAGATTAGGCTGAAAAATGGGACATGTTACAGATGGGGGAAAGAGGAAATAAAACCTATTAATGTATGCTGATGTTATACATTGGTTGGCTGTAATCATAACATGTTCAATATTTATCAGTGACACACATAACCTGACACCTGACAACATGACTAGTTGTTTAGGGGTGCACAGCTGCTGTGTTAGTAAATAGGTCATCTATTCTAAACATGTTGATTACTAAGTATTGATTTTTTTTTTCAAAAGTGTAAACAAATGAAATAGATAAAGTATAGGCCTACAACAAAGTGAAACTAGAATCTAATTAGTATAGGTTCTGAGGCTAACAATTTAGTCAAATATTATTTAAATCATATGAAGTACAGATCAATAAAAAGAAAACTTCCTATTAACATTTCTACTTATTTTTATGCTTTTTTTTTTCCTTTAAAAAATTATATCTAATATATTCATCATTATCCTGCACTCATATTATTCATGTTATTTATTTAAAAACAGCACGTTTTTAAGTTAATTGGATGGTAATATCATATATAATTATAAAATTATTTTAAATATAATTTTTTTTGCCTAATGATAACAGTAGGTCACAACTACAAAATAACTCAATATTAACAAAAAGCTAAACTTTGTATAATTATAAATTGATTAAAACATTTTTTTTTGTATAATGATAACAGTAGGTCATAACTACAAAATAACTCAATATTAAAAAAAAACAACTGTAATTTGTGGCTTAACTAGCAGACCAAGTTGCAAACAGAATAAAAAAATTATAATTAATAAAAAGATATCATAAACATATGATGATGATATGCTAGTGATATTTGCTAGGGGTAGCTGCTACCTTGCCCTTGATGCCCCCCTCCCAAATAATATATCACTAATTCTTCTGAATAACAACAAAATGAGGAAATGGGTAGTGATCTAAAGAATAGGTTGTTTCATGGTATTGAAATATTATAGTTTGTAATTCAACAAAAACAATATGAAATTTATTTATTTTTAAAGTCATTATCGTAAGAAACATTTTAAAATAATTTTTTTTGGTGATGAAATAATGTGATACATTGGATAAAATCTAGTGACAGTCAGATACTAAAATGTGCCTCTTGGCTTTTCTGTGCTAATTTTTTTGCCAAAAATCAAAATCATACTGAAACATTCACTGCCTGATGCTTAGTGCTGCCTACTAAACCTTGCTACACTAATACATTAGGGTTCAAAATATAAAACAAATTAACTAATCTCAGGCCAAAGCACTGTGCAAATAGAAATATGCTAAATATAAACTGATGTGCAGTAGGACATAATGTCCAGTCAACTTCCCTGCCTATTTCCCCCCTCCCCCATTATGTACTGTAAATGCAAAGTAAACAGAGATTAAAAAGTGAACAATATAATATGAATGAAATTGTAATTGTGAAATTGTATTGTTAAATGTTTTACCTGGTAAAAAAAAAATGAAACAAGATAAATTTATATTTTAATATTGTCCTAATAAGTTTTGAGCTTTAATTTACATAGTTATTGACCATGTCTGGCTATTAAGATCACATTTTTTTCTTTGTGGTTAGACTGCCTCTACCAAACTGAGTGATTATCACTTTCTTGAAACATTGTCATTGCTCTCTTTAAAGCATGTATATGTGAGGTGCATAATGGGAAATAGCTTGTCAGACCATTAGGGTCAAGCCAGAAAATGAAATCAAAAGACAAACTAACCAGACATCAAAATCAAGCCCCAATAGAAAAAGTCAACATACATAGCCTCCCAGCAACAAGGGGGTTGGGAGTACTACTTGATGTTATGGTCATTCCACCTATATTCATTTTAAAGACTGCCATACACTATGCAGCAGGCTCGACTCAAAAAATAGTCCAAAGGAATATCTAGGTTAATAAGATTTATCCTTTTCAAAAGATGGCTTCCAATAATTAATGCATGAGATGGCAAATTTAGATTTTTTGGTAGGTGCTCATCACTAGTCTTGTAGTTAATAGCTATTACCAGCCATCTCAAAATTGTATCTTTATGCTTATTATAGATCTATTCATTAACAAATTACATTTTAATATTACTCACCAACTAATTTTTTAATTACAATTTATTAAATTAAGGCCCTGTCATCTCATAAGAAAAAGGAGTAGTCACATGACAGTACTCTACAAAACATGATTGTCAGCTGCTCTGTGTGACATCAATAGTGCCACCATTTGGAGAAGTTTCAGGCTTCAGCAAACATTATCCACATTAAAAGCTAACAGTATAAGTATAGTATAGATACAGGCCTACATAATTTGAGGCTTCCTAAATCCCTCAATGTAATAGTTACAAATCATTTATCATATTTATAATATATCTTGATCTAACTCTTACTTTTAATTTAAGTGTGTATCACAAGAAGTAAACTAAACTTAATGATTCAGGAATGTCTGTGAGCCTCAGTGTGAGTGACAGTGAGTGTGAACTTGTTGGTTAACACAACTTTTACAATTTATGAACTTTATTTCAACTTACAATACACAATCTTAATTATTAATAATTAATATTAATTAACCAGGTGTGGACCGTGGTGTGAACGGTCAGTGTACTGTATAATAATTATTAATTAATTCTATTATTTTTATCACTCGGTATTCTACCTACCAAAGTGCATTGGCCAAAAGCACCTCTTGTGGCTTTACCCACATTATTCTCTAGATCTATGTACTTTTGAAAGAAACAGCATATCAAATATAAATCTACAACAAAAAAACCCTTCTCGACTTTAAATCTTTATTATTTTAATGATTGTTATCAAACACTACTACTGATATTCTACTTCCGTCAACAACGTCAGCTGTTTCCGGAAGCAAAATTTTCACACTTTCGATTTAATTTTTTTCCATCTTAAATTTTAAATAGAACCAACAATAGTAGATCTAGAACCTATGTGAATCGGTCATATAGTGACAATATAGTCTACTAAAAAAGCGAATATCTAACTTCAATCTCTAATGCAATTGAGTAAAAACATTTTTAAAAACTGTGGAGTCGCTCATAGACAGCGTCCCCCTTTTGGCGATTTTTATCTCCCCCCCCCCCCCCCCACTCCTCCGCATTTTCACACAATATCAAAAAGTCCCACCCCCTGTAAATGACACCACGCATAATCCTACCCCATTTCCTGTACATTTTTATTACATTTTAAGGGGTCGGCGTGGTCGAGTCGGTAAAGCTCATGGTTGCTAAACCGAAAAGTCTCGAGTTCGAACCCTCGGGCAGATGAGGCTCGTTAGCTGGGGACAGCCACTCTTCTAGGAGAGACAACTCCAAAATTAAACAACTGCCTTGTAGTTTGTTCTTGGTTGGACAAAGGCTATGGAAGCAAATCCAAAAAGAAAAGCAGGCTGAAATCGGAGTCAATGGCCTCAATGGCATAACCAGTTGACACGTACCGCTTAATTGTGTTGGAGGCGTGGTCGAGTCGGCAAAAAGTTCATGTTTGATAAATTCGAACAAAGTTTCGAGTTCAAAACCCACTGGCAGATAAATCTCGATCACCTTCAACACTAAAAATTCATGTGGGTTTGTTACTTACGAGCACAATCGTTTGTGAATGAAAATTCAAGTAAAATATTATAACTCTACATATATTATCCATGTCTTCATGTATTACTCGGGGAAACTCCATGTGTCCGTGGCAACGAACGGAAAAGATGATGCGATTATTTGAGAGCTGGACATTACCCAATATACTAAAATAGGGCATTATATATTCATTTAATTAAATTGCTTCCTCTGTCTGTCTGTCGTGCTTCGTCATGAGTCAAAACTGGCGAGCGAACACTTCTATCGGAAAGATTTCTTTCAAACTTGGCTCGTGGGTCCAGACCCTATGACGATGCAATCTGACAGTCAATTTGACTCAACTTGATGCTAAAATAATTGTTTAAGACTTAATTAGTTACCTATAGGGCCTATAGATTACTAATTTTACGCATTGTTAGCGTTCGTTTGGTGCGTAATTCTTTTTAGTCACACAATTCTATTGCATTGATTTTTAAAGTACTGAAATTTCCAAAGATAAAAATCGTTTTAAAAACAAGCTTTTATATAATTATACACTCAAAAGAAGAAAATAAATGGTTATTTTATATTAAAGTTCTATTCTATATGGTGTGTAATAATACACCACTACCTAAATAATTGAAAAGAAAAGTCATACTATATAATACCTTTACTAAAATTTAATAAGCGACCCACGCCCTACATTTTAGTTATTGGTTATTTATTTAGTGATTCATTATTATATTAGATATTTAAAGAAAGTCATAATTCTCTTTTTAGTGCATAATAATTAATAATTATATAATATAAACGACTTAAAAACGTGTTATTTTCTTATACTTTTTGTTTTGGTCTTTAGTCCGTACACTTATTTGTAAACATACAGGCGTGCTTGATTGATACAACAACTTCACAAGGTATTGGTACTCATTCATGGTAGCTAGTCTAAGTACTAATTATTTAAATATAGATCTAGAACTTAAATAACTAAGTAGACCTAGTAATACACTAGATCTATCTAGTACTAGTAGTAGAATTGCGATTTTGTACTCCTGTGCTGTGATTGAAGTTTTAGTTTAGAAGTGAAGTCAAACACTTTACTTACTTTACTTGACTTTACTATAGTAGGTACTAGGATAAATTTTCAAAATTGGATTTTTGGGGAAACAACTACTACAGTTAAAAGGAGCAGAAAATTACAATAACAGAACAGTTTTCATTTTTGATGTAGCTCAAACGGTTAAATAGTTATGATTTTTTTTCGTATTAAAAAAAGCGTTTTTTTTAACATAGGATTTTTTTCAATTTCTGTGTTAGAATTTTTTAAAGCGTTTACTAAAATTGTCATAGCCTGTAAACCGTGTGATCAAATTTGTTATAACTTTGTAGTAACTTAAGTTATCATATATGTTAACATAATAAAAAATAAAAAGAGAACTTCATAGGTAGAATTCTAAAAAAAACTGGAGGGGAGGAGGGGACCCCCTTATTTGTGCATTCACAGTGCTTTCATACAATCACAGTTTAAAGTTAAACTATTTGAAATATCAAGCTGAAAATTGCTCAGAATGTGTGGCTATGGATGTGATCATTAATACCATCAAAATATTGATCATAATTTGAAAGTTTTTTGTTCAAAGAGCAAATGAGTTGATAAATTATGCATTTTTACAAAAACCGAAATCTGGTTAGTGTAAAATGGAAAATGATGCCAAATTTGAACTTTTAAGTATTTATGTCTCAAAATTGGCCTGATTGTAGTTAACCCTAAACCTAAATAGATACAATCAAATTGTATGTTTTAGTTATATATGTTTGCCTAAAATAGGGGGTGGAAGAATGTACCCCTCTATATTTTTAACACCGAAACTTTTCACACAACTCAAAATTAACTCAAACTATTTAAAATATCAAGCTGAAAACTGATCAGAATGAAGTTCTGTAAGTGTGTCTGTTAATATTATATAAATATTGATATTGGTAAGTTTTATAAATGGTTATATGTGAATTCTAATTTTTTTTAAATATATGAAACCATATTTTAAACTATTGTAATTTGTTTTAGAAAATTAAAGATGAACAAGTTATTTATTTCCATCAAAGAAATTTAATTTCCATCACTGTTTAATATTACATTGTTCTTCCTTTGCCTATGCTGTAGAATTGCAGTTTCTATCTGGAATAATGAACATTACTTTAGTAACATGTCATTAAAATAAATGAAACATAACTAATTAGTAAACTGACCAACCACTGTAGACATACGGTCATTAAGATCGACTTATTAAATTCCCGACAAACCCCTTGACATCATTAATGACTTATTGTGCGTGACAATAACTCCCGTCATTAATGCTCACGTCAATATGTGCGTGACAATGACTCCCGTCATTAATGCTCACGTCAATATGTGCGTGACAATGACTCCCGTCATTAATGCTCACGTCAATATGTGCGTGACAATGACTCCCGTCATTAATGCTCACGGCAATCCGTGCGTGACAATAACTCCCGCCATTAATGCTCACGTCAATATGTGCGTGACAATGACTCCCGTCATTAATGCTCACGGCTATACAGTTCTAGAATCTAGCTCTCGTCAAAATGGCTCAAAATAAACGCCGTAGATAAAAATAAAACCTATTTTTGTTAGTATTCAAGATGTAAAAAGTCCACAACATTAATCTTAGAAGAATTCAAATAAACAGGACTACTGCGTTTATAATCAGAACAGAGCGTTGAAAACTTGGAATACTGTTTTAAATCCTTCATTATAAACTATGGTAAACGATCTTCCATAAGTGACGTCATTAACCCTCCCCCTATCCTCATTGGTACACTACGTCACCTTTCTTAACCCCAACCCTCGATGCTCACGTAGAACAATGTCAACCTCGGGTCAACGCGTCGTTCAGTGACGTCAGAGGACTGAGGACAGATTCCCGGTGAACGCAGTTAATTTGGGGGGAAAAAAACCATAACCAACAATAATAATGTCAGTTTCGCGTGTTGGTTTAGTAGTGGGCCATGGGCCATCCATACAATAGATCTACATGACGTCACGGAACTGGAGTCCACCGTACTTACTCAACCCCCCCCCCCCCTCCCAACACCCATCTTCTATGTGCAACACATCATCCAAAACGTTATGCCCTCTCGGTCTCAACCTTAAAACCGACCGCTAAATGTATGCGTATATGACAGCATTTCAAATAATAAAATATATAGGCCTAAATAAAGAGTCAATGGGGAATGTGCTATTATTTTCTAGAACTGTCAATTCAAACGATATAGTGATATTAATTAAACAAAGTCTATACTAAACAATAAAAAAATAACTGAATACAGTGTAAATTGAAAGTCATATTTAATAAGTCGGTAGTGTTGTTAGCGTGATCGGGCTAGGCCTCTCACGGTACTTCCGGCTTTCCTTTCGTTTTGAGCCGTAACCATCAGAAATGGCGAAGTACATACCTTTTTGGGGAGTGAACCATTAACAATGGGAGCAACTTAGAACTCTAAATTAATAAAGATAATACGTAGAAATGGTCCCTTTGTTTGAGTCTCTACATAAAGTGCGCGTGTCTTCAATAGTTTTTTTGTAATGAATAAAATAAACTTACCTTATTTTCAAAGAATAACTCCTCTTTTTTGGGTCCAGAAAAAAAAACAAAAAAAAACAAACAAGCTTGATATCCATTTTTCTCCTTAAAACAATCATCAAAAGAAAAATGATCACACGGAAGCGGCAAATTAAGCAAATTTTCGAACATCGTCACTCGCGCCATCGACGAAAACGCAACAGCCTGGTAACGGGAGAAAAATGACGCCTCGGACGCCGCGGCGCGAGCGTAATCCTAGTACCTATTACTATAGTAAAAGTTCAGTTCAGTATAGTTTATAAGCGGAGTTGAGCCTGAGAGTTGACTCAGTAACTGTAACTGTCAGTAACTGAATAATCAGTTCAAGTTGTCAGTAATGAGTAGAGTACAGAGTTATGAGAGTACTCAGTCTCAGTAAGTACTGAGGCCGAGTCAGTACATTGAAGTACATTCATCAGTCAGTACAACAACCGTTACCGTGTGATAGTCGTGTGTACGACAGTGTAGTTGAGTGTAGTGTACGTAGTACGTAGTTTAAGTATTGTAGTTTTACTACTAAATACTAGTCTAGTGTAGACACAACAAAGGTGGAGGGCGGACTGGATGAGTGAAGAGTGGGAGTGGATGAGTTAAATTTAAATTTTATTAGAAAACACAATTTTTAGAAAAGTCATAGATAATCATTAATCTCACGATATACATAATAATACATAGTGTCAGAAACTATCTAGTAATGTTTGTTTATAATGTTTAGTTTCGGTAACATTCGTTACTGTACTATAAACCATTGTTTATTTGACCCTTGAACTAGAAATAAAGTCAAGTGCATTAAATTAATGTTTTAACTTAATTTAAAATTTTAAAGTTTAATTGACAGAAAATTAGCAACACATTAGGCCTAGCCTACTAAATCTAAATATTATTAATAAAGTCGAGTGCAGTAGTTAATGTTTTTTTTTCCAAAACATGGAAAAAAACTTTCAGAAGATTTGCGACAACTAGATCTAGTCTTAAGTTTAGGTTCTCTAGATCTAGTAAAATAAGACGATTAGATTTACTAAAGTTAAAAGTAGTAAGAAGTTAAAGAAGAACTAGAATCTAGAACAATGTTTAGTAAAAGCAATAATTAGTAGGCCTACATACACTTAAAATAATTAGAAATACAAAATAATTAGCAAAAAAGTATTTAAAATGCAAGTAAAATCAATCCATACACATTTTTAAACATTATGTATGAAAAATAATGAGTGTTGTTTGGTACTTTACTACGAATAGCCCTGGCAGGCTATTCATACTTCACTATTTTTAGCCGACCAATCAAATTTATTTTTAAATTCATTGTCACATTAGCTTGTGTAGTGTATGACATTCCAATTTTGAATCTCGTAGTAACTGCTCCGGTGGTCGAAGTGGTTGTGCATTGGCTAGTTTGTTTTCGAGGAGTGGGTTCTATTCCCTTTGACTCAGAGATTATTTTTTCATTTTTGCTTTTTTTTTTACATTTTACTTAAGGATTAGGGTTAGGCATTAGGGTTAGTGATAAGATTAGATCTAAAAAATAATTAGCTCTAGATCTATACAGCATGAAAAAGTGAATTCAAGAATCACAGAAAAAAAGCCTCACGCTGATTGGTCAGAGTAGGAATAGCCTTCATAGGGCTATTTTTTAGTAAAGTACAAATAGCCGCAGCCAAAATAATATGGCGGCAAATAAATGATTGTTTACAGTATTTTCGGTGGTTTCCTGAACGGCTCGACAGACTACGCCATGGTTTTACTGTTTTTTACTGCTGTACAGTTCCAGAATAATAACCGACGCTATATTGTGATTTTACCAAGTCATTTACTGTAAATTTTGACACTAGCTCAATTGACTAAAAAATATATGTCATTATTCTGTACTTAGTACATTAGTACTTAGTTGTGTACTTATAATGAGGGTGCACATTTTGCATCATTTTATTAATTAGGCCTACTCGCAAACACATCTGTATAAAGTCAAGAATTTTTCCAAAAAAGTCTGGAAAAAGTCTGGAATTTCATTTTCAAAATAGTGCAATGGAGAGGGGAAGAAAAAAAATCGTTTTTAAAAAGAATGACTACTTAAAAATGATCTCCCTATTATCCTAGACAAGACTGACTAACAGATAGATTTCCACTTGCTGATATTAACAATCAGCAGCCTACTTAGTGAGCCTAATAATTAACTGAATTTTTACTGCCCTATCTCCTTTGCTTTCTGTACCCCTTAATTACTTATTGTAAAACCTCTCAGTAATGTATTTATCTTTATTTCTTTATAGCAGTTTCAAATATTCACCATGACCAAAAGAAGTAAGAAGAAAAATGTGCCTGTAAATGCAGCTGTGGCTGAAGAAGCAAAAAGCCAATTAGTTGAATTAGATGAAGAAAATTCATCCATTGTAGAAAATGAAGAAAGTTCATTTATTAATGATGACATTGAAGGTCCAACAGATGTTGGTGGATTTACAATTCTTGGTGATTTCAAGGCTAAAGAGAAGAAAATTGTAAGTGCTTGAATATAATAGTTTTCAAAGTTCATTTTGTTACATGGATTTATTTATACTGTTGTATTTGAAAAAGTTAATGTACACTTTAAAATATTAATTTTACTTCAGGTTGAGAGGGTTCTACCAAACTGGCTTCAACACCCAGTTCTTATTAGTTCTGAAGAAGTAAAAAATTTTGCAAGCATTACAGATTTAGACAGAAATTTAGTCGAAAGTTTAAAGGCCAATGGCATAGAATCATGTTTCCCAGGTAAACCCATATTTTTAAAATATAAAAATTTTGGGTAACAAAGGTATAGATGATTTTATTTTTTTCTGTTTTATTTTCGTCTATGGTTAACAGTTCAGTGGACAGTTATACCTGAACTCCTGGCTCAGTGTGCATGTGGATTATATGCTGGAGATGGTGGATTTCGTCCTCGTGATGTTTGTGTGTCTGCACCAACTGGAAGTGGAAAAACTCTAACCTTTGTTCTTCCTATTATTCAGGTGACATTTTCTGTAGTTCAGATAATATATATTTGTTATACCCTTTGAATATTAAACACCATCGTTTTATTGATATTTGCATAATTATTCTGATATGTGTTTTTGTTATTCAGCACCTGACTAATGGTACAAGATTTTATTTTATAATACCACATATTGTGCTCATTGTTATCTCCATTAATGGTCATGTAAAGAATGTGTGGTCTCAAACTTGTAGGTCAAAGACAAAGATTAGCATATTGATCTTACTAAAATTGTAGTTTACTTTTCGAGGCCTCAGTCTAGCTCCATAAAATAAGTTGAGGTTTTGATACACGTTTATGCCATTTATTCAACTTTCCATGCTTTACTTGCTTTTATTTCTCATACCAGGCCCTTAAAAACAGGGTCATTCCTCATGTACGGGCCCTGGTTATTCTACCTGTGCGAGATTTGGCTATTCAAGTGTACAAAGTGTTTAAACAATATATTCAGGGTACATCTCTAAGGGTTAGTAATTTCTATTGATACTAGAGTAATCTGTGTTTTTTTTTTTTTTTGCCAGTTGGTTAAATGTTTTTATCACTGACCAATGGCAATGGTAGTTTTATTGTTAATTTTATTCCAAATATTACCTACTTTTTAAAGACATTAAAAATACTTTTAATTTAAGTTAGATTTTAAAAGAAACACAAATGTGTGCATATAATATATATGAATTTTAGCAAAATTAAGTTATCATAAGTGAGCAGTAAACAATAATAGTAGTTTACTTTTTGTCTTAACAAGTGAATTATGTGTAAAAAATCATATGTACTTTCCAGGTTGTACTTGTGGCTGGAAAGAAAGACTTTTTCTCAGAGCAAGGAAAATTAGTTCGGGAAAGGTAAGCTCATAATAGCTTAGTGGTAGTCTTGCCTTTTTCTGTGTCTATATCTAAGTGATTTTGCTAAACATGTTTTTATTTTGTTTAGGAAATAAAAGCCATCAGACATCAGGTGCTGTTATAATACAATTATTTGTTTTTAGACCACATGCACAACCATCGGAGAAATGGGCAAGTATGGCTGACATTGTTGTGGCTACAAAAGGGAGGCTACTAGATCATTTGGATAGAACAGAAGGCTTTGATCTTACACATCTGAGATTTTTGGTAAAAGTTTGACATTTAAATTTATAAACTATTTTACCAGCAATACAAGTATTCACACATTTAATATAAGTTCTTTACATTTTAAAATAGTTATGCATGTATATTTTAGGTTATAGACGAGGCTGATAGACAAATGGATGATGTACATGATGATTGGTTGAGTCAGGTGGAAAAGGCTGCCTATACACCAAAATTGGGAGCATTTGCTCCTTACCACAGAGAAAAACCTGGTCCTCTCACCATTGCCAGGTTGGTTTTGTGTTGAATAATGAACTGTTTACATTTTTTTAGAAATGAATATGCTTGTATGTTGTTAAACAATGTAAATGTTTTTTCTCGTTTGTGCATTTTGAACTTAATACCATATTTTTAAAATTATTTTTCAGCTGCAAGACAATTGTTATGCATGTGAGTAGTTGTTTATTCTGGCTCACTTTGAAATAGTTATGATGATATTTAACATTTACTGTGATGTTGGGATCTATTATAATGTCAATTGGACCAAACATAAATAATTTTCTGCTGATATTTATTTCAGGTCCAGAAGCTTTTGTTTTCTGCAACATTATCTCAAAACCCAGAAAAGTTAGAAAAAATGAACCTTTTTCTCCCCTTGCTGTTTGCCAGTGTGGCTCCTTCCATTAAAAATCCAGCCACACCAAAAGCAAACACAAATATGGATGGAGAAATGAAACATGATATGATGGACACAAGTGATTCCAATATTAAAGGTTAGTAATGCTGATATAAATAAATTTGTACATTCCAGGCATATCTTTAATCACTGTAAATAGACTTACATGGTTTGGGATGGGAGTAATTTCAAGATTTAGGTATGATCAGTGTAGCAATCCTAGAAAAAAAATAGCCTTAATATGTGCTATGACCAAACTATCAATTCATATGATGAGGTCACAGAAACAAGTTAACTCTACTTCATCTGCCTTATCGACTGTCAGATCCAAAAGGGTTACTAAAAGAGTCATGTCAAATTTACAAGCATATAATATGGTTAAAATGTGTGTTGAAAGTAATTGTGTTTTATTTTTTATTTAGAAGAAAACAAAGATTTCTGGAGTACAATATTCCTTTGCAAGTGTAGAAATTAACTAATTGATTTCTACCATATTTCTTTCCACAGCTCTATCAGTTGACAAATTTTCAACACCGGCATTACTCAAGGTGTGTTTAAAAAAAAAAAAAAAATATATATATATATATATATATATATATATATATATATATATATATATATATATATATATATATTTATATTTATATACATATAAAATTCTACTTTTGTCTGCTCTGTCAGCATGATCATTTTAACTCAAGAATACATAATAAATACTAGTAAATTAATAAGAAAAAATTATGTTACAACATTTATACCTTATTAATGATTTTAAAAAAAATTATTTCTTTGGTATTCTATTGGATATAGAATCGGAAAAAAACATTTAAATGAAATTGTACAGTTATTATCTATTTCCTAAGTGAAATGTTTGTGCCACACTGTATGAAAACTAAGGTGCTTGTACCAATACTGCTTGTGTAAACATTGTTTTAAACAGTATTTGTAGTAACGATAAATGTTAACACATGTTTGAAATCATTTTTCAGGAAAAATATATGGACTGCAAGGCTGCAGAGAAACCCTTGATCTTGTTTCATTTTCTTTTAAATAAAAAGTTCCAGCAAGTTTTATGCTTTACCAACTCGGTTGAATCAACACATAGGTGGGTTTGGATTTTTAAAATATCTATTTAGCAACAAAATTCTTATTTTCCAACAGTTATTTTGTATTCACTTTATTCTATTTAATTTCTGTACAACTATATCGATCTGTTAGTGTAACCCTGTGTTAATTTCTTCTGGATAAAAAGTTTTTTTTTTTTTAAAAATTAATTTTTACATTTTTTGTAGGCTGTATTTATTGGCAAAACAAATGGACGGGTTGAAGGTAGCTGAGCTCTCCTCTAATATTCACACTGCAAAACGTGAGAGAATTATAAGGAAATTTGTGAGGGGAGAACTCCAACTGTGAGTCATTGGTTGTTATTATATTAATAGTTTTTACTGAGGTTACAATGTCAGGATGTCTGTGGGTGGGCATGTGGCTAATTTTTAACTCTATTTCAACCGATATCTAAAGCACTGATTTCTTTCTATTTCCGACGACAATGCATGAATATCTCAATTTCACATTAATTAGTTATTTAAAAATAAACAAATTTAAAGATTACTGTATTCAATAAAATAAGGGGCAGATAATAGAACTACTTGTTAAACTGATTTTCATAGGGTACTAACTCTGTTTTGCTAGCTTTTAATAACTATTTGATTGTTAATCAGCCATTCACTTGAATTAATTTCAGGTTGATCTGCTCTGATGTAATGACTAGAGGTATGGACATAGAAAACGTACAGTATGTCATATCTTATGATGCCCCTTCCTACATTGAGACATACATTCACAGAGTGGGTCGCACTGCCAGGGCCAACAAATCTGGTATTTCAATCACATTACTGGAGGGCAAAGAGGTGAAGCTATAACTTCTAGGAGTTTTTAATTGTATCATGTTTTTCTATCTTTAAACTTATCTCACACTCATAAATAAATATATAATAAAATAGCTTAAGCATGGCTGTTATGTAACAAAATAGCTTAAAACACGTAAAAATGTAATGTATAATAAAATAATTTAAGCATAACCTCAATCTAATAATTGTAATTTATAATAGCTTAAAACATATCTCACTAATAAATGTAATAAATGATAACGTATCTTTAAAATTTGCATTCCGTAGTAACAATTTGTGTTTATCTTCTTTTAACCAGATGTTTCACTTTAAGAAAATGCTTAGAGAATCAGGGAGATGGGACAAGTTAAAGAGAATCTCTGTCAATCGTCAGCACCTAGAACCTCTAGTACCACAGTTTAGTAAAGCACTAAAGACCCTCCCAGCTATCTTAAAGGTTTGTTCAAATCATTGCGAAAATAAATAAATAAATTCTGCTTGGTCCATCATTTATTAGAGCTATAGTTATACTTTCAATGGGATGGCGTGACATAAGCAGTAGAGCACTAGGATGCTAACCCGAAAGTTTCAAGTTTGAATAGGATTAAAGTCAGTAGATTGTCCCTGACTCCACCCAGCTCTGATGGGTATCTTACCCACGTTAGGGAAAGTAAAGGCGGCTGGACAAAGTGCTGACCACACCTTCCCTTTATAGGCCAGGTCAAGAAACATGAACTCTACTTCATCTGCCCAATGGATCACTAGGTCTAAAGATAATACTTTATAATTATATTCATTGCTATTCAATTAGTCATGTCTAACAGGATTTATTTCCCTTTATATTGTTACTTTTTATCTAACTTAAGTCAGTTTCAAATTATATTTTTGTTTAATCCAGGAACAAAGAAGACAACAAAGAAGTTTGTGACAAGCCCTTAGCAGATAATACTTTAATTTAAAGCTTGCTGTTGATGTCATTTTTTTTGTACATAATAAAAAATTGTTACAAATAAATTTAAGATGTAAATATGTGTTTAGTGTCTTTTTAAAAATCCATTGAGTTTCTCCCTTGATGCTTAAATAAAATGCTTATATATTTGATAAAATATTATAGCGTTTAATAATCATCTATAATTATGTATAGACGTAAATTGAACAGAATGTCTTTATATTTATTTTATAGCATTTAATGTATATTTTATAACAATATTTATAAGTATTGATAATAAACAGGGTCGCAGGGGTTATATGTGGGCACTTTTTACTTGCATCTACCTAATTAAATGAAAATATTCAGCTCAATAATGAATAGGGTTTTAGAAAAACACCCGAGGTGGTGCACATAGGCCAATCATATTGGCTAAAACAAGGGGGGGGGGGGGGGGGGTTATATTGTATCCAACACATAGTTTCCAAAAATACTGTGTAAACAGCTACAATTGTTTGTAGGCCTACATGTATTGCGATTTGTGTATATTTGTAAATATGGTGGGTGATTCAGTGTTCATGAAGGAATAATTAAGAAGGATATATATATACATTCTTTAACATAATATAAGGCTGCAATTTATATTCATCTATAAGCCTATTTTTTTTTCCTGCCTTTCACCACTGTTATATAAAGGAAAGGAGTCAACCATAAATGATAAAGACGTCATGCTTTTTTTGGACCATTCATTTCTCACACTTGCCCTAGCCCCATCGTCACAAAATGCCAGACCCTCACCCATAAAATTTTTACTAAAATGACGTCAAGCTCTGTCTTTCCCCCCCCCCCCCCCCCCCCCCCCCCCAAATCAAATTTTCAGGTTTTTGTTTTTTTAAAACATCACTTCCTTTAAAAAAAACTATCTGACCTCTGTTAATACTGAGTATATTAATAAATTTCTGGCTAAATAAATTATAAACAATTAATACATTTCTAGATCAATTAGTCTATTACCATTTAAAACAAAACATTTTAAAAACTCGAATATGGCGGGTAAAACTAAAATTTTAGCGTTACTTTTTAAATGCTTTGGCCGCCTTGTCTTCACACTTTCTGAACCCCCCCCCCCCCCGTCATATCTCGTAACAAAATTTCCCCCCCCCCCCCCCCCCATCCAATCTAGTAAAATGACGTCGTATATTGTACGACTCCCTTACATAATAGTAATAACCCACAAAACGAAATTGTATCGCCATAGCTGTCTTGTTTCCCTGATTTCTTAAGACGCTGTTAGATCTATACCTTGATCTAAAATACTAAATCTAAAAAAAAAACATATTTGTTTCACTTTCATAAATTTAATATGTAGATAATTTTAGTACACAAATCAAAGTGATGTACACGTCAGAAACGTCATCTTTAGCAACAACAAAAAATACGTGGTTGAGTCAAGCAAGTTTTTAACTTGCAGATCTCAGCCTAACCAGCCTTCACAACGCAGCTCCAGCAAAAACTTTAAATTAAACCTAACCTTTTGTAAATAAAGACAAGCAAGTATTTTAAATCTAGTTATTTTAATGTTTAGAAACGTATAATAAGACATGGTTTAGATTTGTAAGTCAATAAAAATTCAGAGACGACACCCATGTTTTTGTAAATTTAAAATGTAAATAGTAAATAGATATCTCTAGTACTAGATTCTAGATCTAGATCTAAATAGTAAAGTAAATAGATCTAGATTCTAGATCTAGTAGATCTAAATGCAATATTCGAATATTGATTCATAATTGCATTTTTGAATAAGTATAGCAGTTTATAGCGTCTAGCATCTTCTTTAACTTAAGTTTTAAAGTCTGACTTAAAGTTAAAGGGCGGTGTTAGTGTTAGGTTACTGGTACTGGTAGTTAACTAAATTACACATAGATCTAGATCTAGATCTGCGTATGGCTTAATGTAATGTCGATTCTAACTCTATCCCTTATGTCCCTTATGAAATTAAGTAATTATAAAAAGTTAAAAGCTAGATTTCTAGATCTAGAATAGATTTAATTTAGATGCTAGCCGCATTTAGCTTATGGATTTACGACTGCTCGAACTGTAAGCCGAGTTGGCAATGCATCTACAATTTCTCAAAGCATTGCCGCGTCAGGTGTTTGAAGTATGCCAGTGATAGCAATGCTTGACTATATCTACAATCTAGAATAGATAGTTAGATAATCTAGTCTCTCATTGGTATCTCAACAGAAGACTGAGAACAGTAACTGACTCTTCTGAAAATATATCATCATAAATAATCATAATCAATTAATCATCATATGTTCTCAGTCAGTCAGTGTACCTGAGTGTAGGGCAGTGTGAGTGTAGGCCCTACTCAAACTCAATCTGTAACAGCACAGTAACAGTTGTTGTTGATGTTTTACGTGTGTGCCTGTTACGTTGCTGTTGTTAGTGTTGACAAGTGTTTGTTACTAATCTAGATCTAGTCTATTTACTTAATTGAAAGTTGTTTTTTTTAAAACAGATTTCTATTTCATTCTAAAAATAAAAATATTAACTGATTTAACTGAGAAGGGTCAGCATTAGAACTATTATAATTATTAGATCTTGATCTAGATCTAGCTAGATTCTAAATTTACTGATCCGTTTAAATTCTAATTTCAATTTAAAAAAAATAATGCTTAATTTCGGTTTCTAAATGTAATATAGTATAATAGTTTACACAGACCTAGTTTAAGTTTGGAATTAAATATTAATTCATACCATTACAACAGTTGTATCACTTAGGCTTGTTGTACTGGTATTGATATCTGTCAATATTTATTGGTGGTGTTTCTACAATCTGACAGGGAAAAAAGAGGACTAAAATATGTACCACTATTTTTAAAGTTGAGTTTGGCTGACCTCATGTTTTTAAATAAATGAACTGTTGTTTTTGTAGTGGGCAGACGAAACCCAAAAAGGTATCCTCGTCTTTGTCTTCAGACTCATTAAGAGAACAATTTTTAGTTTGGTAAAGAACCTTTTGTGAGTCTAAAACTGCTTATTTATTTTATAATAGAAGGTTGGTTCTTTGCGGATTAGCTGGAAGCATATTTTGTAGAAGATTTCTAGTTAGCATTGTCAGTAAGAATGCCTCCAATCTTAACCCTGACCTCCAGTAAAATTAACATCGCTTGGTAGTTATACACATGAGTGTGATGTAAAATAGTTTTTAATGAATGGGCATTGTAAGATCAAATGGCCCTATCTATCTTTTTCTAAGATAACTAGATGTAAATAATGGTTAAAAAAATCTTGTGGTGTCAATATTTTATAAAACAAAAAATTTTACAAAAACTCACTGAAACCATATCTTCCTCAGGTAATCACCCCGCAAATTGTATAACTCAATCAACCCCTTGATTTTTAAAATTAATAATGAGAATTGCATAAAGTTAAGGAAATTGATATTTTTTTTTAGAAGTATAGTTTTATAAAATCAACTAATCGAAGGCAGGGTGACATAACATTGCTTTATACCTATTGTTTCCCCATATAACACAGTAAAATAAAATTATAAACAGCCCCACCCTCTTTTGTGTTATACAATATATGCATGATCTCTAAAGTCTAAAGCACCCTAGTTGTTGCAGCTGGGTGTAATATTTAGGTGAAGTTTGTATCTAGAGCTTGCAAGCTTCATAGTCTTTATCATCCCCTAGTTATTATACTGGAATAATGTAAATTTCTGCTCATAATTAATTAGACACTTAGTTATCAAATTCTATCATTAGCAGTTTGGAGGTCTCTGTGGATGATTTGAGCATTGTTTACAAATCATGTCATTTAATATTTTAAGCTGGGTGAAAAAATTTGCCCTTGGCAAACAAGCATTAAAAAGACCAAAAGTAAGCTCACAGCATCTTAGCTAATCAGATTATTCTTTAGCTAAAAACCAAATGCTGATTCTCCAATATACATAACACTAAAAAGTACAACTGGATATTTGCTAATAGTCATAATTGTTTTGGTTATCAGTAAAGCTTCTATGCAATGAGAAAATAGAGAAAATTAAAAGCTGCCTGGTGGTCCATGGGGCATATGAGGTAGAGTTCACCTGTTCCTCTGACCTCGACATATGAAGGGATAGTGTGGTCAGCACATTCTCAGCCGCAGTGTGAGTCAGGTACACATCAGAGGTAGATGGACTAAAACTTGAGCCTGGAGCCAAACACATAATTTTCAGTTCTTCCACACGACCATACCCTTCTACAATAAGAATGAATAAAACAAATTTAAAAGTATTTGGTTAATGTTAGGCTGTAAAATAGCCATTTACATTTTACTTTAAAGGTTTTAAAATCTTATCTTTTTATTTTAAACAGCAGTCCAAAATGGATAGCAGTGTGGATATACCTGTTGAGGAATACCGGGCAATGGGCGATCATGAGAAAGATGGGGCAGCTTCGGTATCTAGAGAACACGATTTTGTTCAAAATACGGTGAAAAACAACCGTATTGTAGTTTTCAGCAAAAGTCATTGCCCTCACTGTGATGATTCTAAGACATTGTTAAATAACATGGGCGTTAATTACACTGCCATAGAACTGGATCAGATCAAAGATGGGAGTCAAGTGCAGAATGTTCTTGGTGCAATCACTGATGCTAGAACTGTAAGTTTTTCATTTACAGCACAATGATCATTGCTCACATGTTTTATGCTAATATTTCTTTTTCTTCTGAGCTTATTTCTTGCAAGAAGTAAAGGTATGATTGAGTTTGTATCATTGGCAGAAGATTTGAGTTCTCTCGTCCCTAGTGGATGCCAAGCATTTTTATGGGAAAAATAAATTGTAACTGGGTACAATGATTGTAATGTATTTTGTCATCACAGCATGAAGGAATGCTACCTGAGGCAACTGTTGGATCTTTTTAATCATCATCTTTTCCCATTAGTGCCCAAGACACATAAGGCTTATGGTGTACAGTTCATGATGACAGATAAATGGAAAGTGTGGCCAGTACTATGCCCAGCCACCATAGTTTTCCCAATTCAGAGGAATTTCTACAGATATGATTCCAAGGCTTTTAGATTAGCAGCCAAGTGCTCTACCCCTCAACAACACTATCCCATTGGATGTTTCAGATCAGCTTAATTTTGTGTCACTCTCTTCCTACGCAGTTTTTAAAGTAAATGTTTCTATGACTTTTTTCTTTCTTAGGTCCCAAGAATCTTCATTGATGGCCAGTGTGTTGGTGGCAACAGTGATCTAAAAACACTTAACAAGACTGGCCAGCTGAAGCAGTTGTTGCGAGATAGGCACAATTGAAGTGCATCAGTGAACCATGTACCTCAACCTCGCTTTGACCCTCTCCTCAGATGCCTTTATTTGTAGCTCACAGATCTTATACTCAAGTAATAAAGCAAAGAAAGGACTTATCACAACTTTATTTTAAACTGCTGAAATCTGTATCTGTTAGAAAGAAAAATGTGAAAAATTACACTAACAACCTCCATTAGGCTGGGCTGATATGATGTAACAATATAAAATAAAATGTTATCAGTCTGGCAAGCAAATGTGTTACTTAAGTAAATTTTTTTCTTCATTCTATAAAGTCCTGCATTTACAGTTAAACTTGCCTTTCATTGTTTATTTTCTTTTAAATAATGACAGTACTATTTTAAAATTTGAATAAATAATTACAACTGTGTAAACATCTTTAAAATGTAAATTTAAAATGCATTTAATTTACCACACCTCTGGAGTTGATTGTTTACATTTTTAAAAATGTCACAAATTCAAGATTAATATAATGACACTTATTTAAACATAGATTTTAAAACACAATTTTATGCATATGAAGAAAACATTTTACATGTTGAGTATTAAATAAAACAGGCATTGCATAAGGCACTGACAAAGGAATGTTTTATTTATTTTAAACACACTGGTATTGTATTTTGTTGGTTTCATCCATTTTTGGTACTTGATACACTAACCATTGTTAAAATAATAACTTTAAAATTAAATTCAGTAACCTATTCAGTAATAGTTCAAGTTGAAAGTTGCATGCAATAGACAAGGTTAAGCAATTAAATAAATTAGCAGATAGATTTTTAAAAGATGAATACATTGTATTTATTTACACCAAAAATAAATTAAATCTTCTATGAAAATGTGAATATACTATGCATATTATGCTTAAATAAACAGTTTAACAAATAATTACATTAATTTACAAAATAAAAATATTTTTAAAAATTTGAGCTTGATAAAAGTAATTCAGTAGACAGATGAGAAAAATCTTACACCGTATTTTTTAAAATGGAGAAATTTGAAAGTAGCAGCTTGCTTTATACATTTTTTTTAATGAAGATCTCTTGAAATAATTTTCAACAGTATTGCTGTATGTAAAGCTGAGTTTACAAGAACATAAAGGGGTAAAAAACATTGTACTTGAAATCAAACTATCACAGATTTGTATTACACTTGTTTAATTAATTAAAAACTGTTCCTTTGTTTCATAAATAACTGACTAATTTAGTTTTGAAGATACATTAAATGTCAATACATTTTTCATCACACATTTTTAAGTGAAACAGATAAATGATAATTAAACAAAATGTGTACCTATACAAGAATTGTTAAAAATTTATTTTTTAGATGTAGGCCTATACCTTGTTTTTAATTTAGCTAATTAATGTCTACAAACAAAGCTTTTTGTAAAGGACAAATCTGTTGCGAAATTCAAATGACAAAATGTAATTTTGCATTGTGAGGCATACCAATAGGTATTAAACTAGCTAGTCATATTAATTATATGTTCTTGTTGATGGAAAACATTTTAGGACATGGGTCAGTCACAAAAATTTGAAGAAAGTATTAGATTTAAATTTTTGTTTCATTCATTCTTCTAGATTATTTTAACTGAAACCTTATTTTACATTATATCATGGATGTATTTACATAACAGTAACAACAAGGCAATTTTTATTTAAAAATGTCGAATATATATACTATATATATACTTTTTTAGGGTCACAAACTTTAAATAAAAATACTATATCACATTTTTACTCCATATTGCTCATTGTCATACATATCAGAATCAATAGAGGTGTTTGTAAATGATTTTTTTGTATGGACAATGGGAAAACTCTTAACAAGTTGATATCTTTACCAATAACTGTAATATACAAAAATATAAGAATATCAACTTGTTAATGACAACAACAAAAAAAGGATTTTTTATACTAATTTGTAAACCATTTCAAAACTTGGATCCAACATTGTTCCATTTAGCATAACACTGAACAAGTGCCAGAACATTGTCCCAAGTAGCAGGACATTGAACAAGTTCCAGAAAATTGTCTCAAGTAGCATTGAACAAGTACCACAACATTGTACTAAGTGTGTTTTGTCAAAAAATGTTGGTAAAATTTAAGGTTTGCAAAAAAGATTCACAGCCAGCTGTAAAATTCATTTTTACATATTTAATTCTTGATATGAAAAAAGTGAAATAATCTGCCACCCTCAAGCTATACATAATCATATGGTACGTAATAAAACTGAAAAAATGTATGCAGGTTCTTGGCAAGCATGAGCAATTTCCATCGTAGGAACTATCACTTCACACAGTTTATTTTGAAATATTTTATAATTGATCACCAGCATCTGAATTAAAACAAAACATTTCACTAGTTACACAACATTCTTTTCTAATTAGAATATTATATAACTTGTCAAATGTTGCAAGTAAAGCTAACATGATGATCTCAACACTATTAAAATATATTTTCCCTCTGAGTAAAATTTAGACTATTAAAGATATTAATAAAACAGGCACATACATGTGTGCACCAGTGCATAAAAAAATGCACTGATCCACACAAGTGTAGTAGATACTGGTATTCTGTTAAAATTCACCGGCTGCAACATCTTTTCTTGCCTTTGCTGTCTGTCAGTTTAAGCCCTTCTTCAAGCTTCTTGTCCTCTTTTTCTAACAGTAAACTAAAAAGAAATATTACAGTCTTAACCTTTAAAAATGAAGACTTATGTAAGCATGAGAATATTTGAAAAATCAACTTTTTTTAATTGCCCACATTAAAATCTAATACAGATATAAGATTTCAATATTATAATTTTATTTAGGGCTAAAATTGAAATCAGTACTTACGTTTAAGTAAGGGTGAGTTTTAAGATTAATTTGTAAGAATTCTAATGATTGAACTGTTTTAAAGTTCTGTTTATACTTTTACTATATTTACCCGGTAAAAGCCTCCATTGATTCTTTAATATTTTCTCCAGATTTAGCACTTGTTTCATAAAACATCATTTCTGAGTCCTAAGAATATCAGAAAAATTGAAAATATTCAGATAAGAAGTAAAAATTACATGGATATATTAATTAAAATTAAAATTCTAATATGTATTTGAAGACTATAGAAAAAAATGGCACAATTTTTTTTTTACCTCTGCTAAATGCCTGCCATCTTTTTGTTTAACAGGTCGATGAGCATCATCTTCTGCCATGTCTAGCTTGTTGCCAAGTAACATGATAACAGTACCAGGTTCAACTTGCTCCTATAAAAGATAGATTATATTTTAACAGATGTTCAACACAAAGATTCCACATTACTATTTTGTCTAGAATTATTTAGTTTCTAAAGATGTAAACTTTTTTATTTATAGTGTTGATTTAAATTGAAAACTCCTGTACCATAATTTTTTGTACCATAAAAAGTTTTTCTAAAAAAAAAAATGGTTTCATTCAAAGAAAGACAAATCTATAAATACAAAAACTTTTTAAAAACCGTTGAGATTACCTCCCCTAATTTAAGGTCAAACAAATTTGGACAAAAAAAGTTCTAGTACCTGAACACTGGTCATCCAGTTACGGACACTGGTGAAGGTGTTTTCCACAGTGACATCATACATCACTATGACGCCATCTGCTTTGCGGAAATAAGCTTTTGTCATTGATCGATACCTCTCTTGACCTGCAGTATCCCAAAGCTGTAAGATAACTGTGGAGTCCTTTAGATCCATTGTTCGAACTTGAAAATCTACACCTATAGTTTCAATTTAAAAAAAAAAATGAATGCAAATTTTTCTACAATTACATGTTATTAAAACTTAGAATAAAAATGTGTATTATATTTAAGGACAAATTACTTACATTACAATGTATTTTATGTAGGTGTTATATTGGAATGGTATATATAAAAGATTTGTAGGTAGTCATATAAAATTAGTCTTAAGTTTGCCTAGAGAGATCTGAAACTAAGTATTTGTAACTGTCATTCATTGCTATACAACACTGTTATTTAATATATTCTATCCCATTAAATATATGGTTAGCTTAGTTTTGTAAGTATGAATGTTTACCTATAGTGGCTTGAAAGTTGCTCCTAAACTCTTGGTGACAAAAGCGATGAATGAAGGTACTTTTACCAACACCAGAATCCCCAATAAATACAACTTTAAATAAACGCTGTGGCTTGGGTATGTGTTCCCCCTAAAAGATTTAAATTGCTTTAATAATTTGATTTTATTAAAAAATTAATATTTTTTTATGTAAAAAATGTGAAGAGTACTTTATATAATATTGGGTAATAATGCTATTTAAAATTAAAATGGTCTCCCTTATATAGGGTAAACCTTAGTGGATTATCTCCCCTTAAAAGGACAATCCTCTTCAAATGAGTATTTTAACATCATACTTGACATCCATAATCTCCACTTCAACAGCATTCAACAATGTGATTTATTACTTTGTTGACAGTTAATGTTGCTGATATTAAAGACACTTATATAAGCTATAACAGGAATTAAAACCTGGCCTAAGGTATTTAACACTGAGCAATCAAAAGTTTACTACAATTTCGAGAAAATGTAGATATTCGAATTTCCTGATTTTAGTTTACTTAAAATGAATTTGACTTACTATATATGAATCTGCTCCAACTGGCTGTGATCTTTTCAAACTGCGAACTCTTATTTTGCCCCTAGGTATAGAAGCATAACATTTTAAAAAATCCTGGCATAAAGGGTTTATCTTAAATTGTAATACAAACAATACAATCAGCCAAAAAAAAAGAAAACAAGAACTTGCCGATTTTTTTTCTTAACCTCCCCATTCGGCCCCTCTAGTTCTAAGCCTTGATGATGATGTCGATGAGGTTCTACTTCTGCATCATCTTCTTCCACCTCATTTTCATAGATCTCCGGTATAAAAACATTGGCATCCTGTAGCTCGTCTACATCAACATCATCGACATCATCATCAATCACTGTATCTAGTTCCTCCATGTCTAAGTCAACCGAGACAAGCTCGGTCGACCGCTGGGATTCCCTGTAAGAAAAAATTATACATTCTTTTTTCAAATTTAACAAAAATCATTTAAAAATATGTTAAAAGGTTTTAAATTTAAACAACTTTTTATAAAATTTAACACAATTGTAAAAAACAAATTTGTAAAAAATATTGTTAACTTTTTCTTTACCTTTAGTAGATTAATTAAACTAATAATTCAGGTGGTAAAAAGTGAAGAAATTTTCCAGACAACTCACCCTGGGAAGTATTTAGATAAAACTGACCCCTGCTTACGAATCTTTTTCCTTGGCTTTGGCTGGACAGGTTCAGACTTGCTGCCCTCGACCTCGCCAACCTGTAACAACACAACTATTCTGTTAAGTTTAAAGTATATCGCAAGAAAATATTTTAAAGATACTGTACTATGTATAGTATATACATAATGCACTTTGTGCATATTTTCCAAGTAGTAATATTTTAATCAAATATGATAATGTTTTCTAGATTATAAAAGTCAATGCCATTATTTATGTACGTTGTTTATATTTATAACATAACACCTAGATCTATGTTAATTTTTAAAGTTCTGATAAAAGAGTCTAAGATTGTTTTAAAATGGAAACTATTTAGATAAATGAGTGTTAATTAAAAAAGATTAACTTACTCTAATGGAAATATAAGAAATTAAAATGGAGGAAGGAGATAAAATAAAATTTTGATAAATGAAGCTAAAAATAAAACAAAATATGTTTTCAACATGAAAACATGGGCAAAATTAACAATCCAGTCTTAAACTTTAACAAAACTTGATTTAAAAATGAAATGGGTGTATCATAAAATGTCTTTATTTATTAATGGTTTAAAAATTAAATATCAAGGTGAGCCATGCAGATCATCACTTTAAATTGAAGCAGTATTTTTATTTTAGAATACTTAAAGAAACCTAAGACAAAATAACTAATTAACCTGTCCCCCAAAAATAGTAAACCAAAAAAAATTATAATAAAGCTCCATTAACAGAAAAACCAGTTCTAAAAAAAACTTAAATTTTAAAATAATATAACTGATAAATCTTCAAATAAAATTTGTAAATATAAGAGTTGAACCACTTGTAGGTTATATATTTGCATACATTGGTGGATGTCAGTTGCTTAATGAATAACCAAAATAATATTAACCAATAATAATGTTTACAAAGTTTTCATTAAGCTCTTCTCTTTGAATATAAAAATTACAAGTAAGATGAAGTAAAAAAAAGTGTATTTTATTTTCCAAAATAAAAGTTACCTGAAACTATGAGTCTTGTTGAAGCAAATAACAAAAGAAAAATGCTTTTTTACTCTCAAACAAGCAAAAAATAAAAATATATCAAACAGAAAACAGACTTGGACCAGGAACTAAAACTGTTGCAAGATTGGTAAATTATAAGTAGGCTAACTACTTAAAACCAACAGAAAAACATTGTATCAAGGCATCAATTAGGCATTTAAAGATTATGTATCAGAAGACTATTGAGGCCATATGTTTTGCTAATAAAACTTTGTTTATGTAAATAATATTTTGATGCATTGTGTTTTATTAAAAATTGAGGATAGATGATGAATAGAAAAAATATTTAAAAAGCACAAGATATTCTTAAATTTAAATAAATATATTTTTATTTTGCTCCTACTATATATATATTAATATTATCAATATCATACTAACAATCTAATAGTTCTATTTTAATATTTTGGATCTACTTTTCTTTTCTAAATATTAACTTAATATTATTATTAATTATCAAAGTTTTTGAAATATATTTGTTTCTAAATATTTAACTGTTGTTTGAAGAAATACCAATGATATATATTATATTATAGTGTTGCTGTTTATAATAAAATGACCTTTTTTGTTCTCAAACTAGTTGCAAACATGAAGCCCAAACCATTCTAAGGTTTCTACTAAAACAATTTTCTATGGTGAGAGAGTACCTCTGCTGCAAGTGAAACTGCCCCATCCTGGACAGTGGCAGGATAGGATGGAAAAAAATACATGAGATACAAACATACAGTTTCAAAAAGTAATTTTGATTTGTGAAACCAAAATTGAATGTGTCAGTTATAAGAAAAAGTATTTTAAAGTTGGAAATAATTTATAACACAATTTTTATTAAATGTGTTTAAAACTTGATTACAATCACTTGATTTCTAAAAATGTGTATTTGAATAATTAAAATAATATTGAAAAAATGATTAAAAAACTAAATTTGACACAAATTTAGCTTTTAAAATATTTTTAATAGGATTAAAAAAAATTAAGATTTTTCTTTTTAAAAAAGCTGAAAAAAATTCATGTTGATATAATTAGTGTAAATAATACACTTTTTTGTAAGATCAAGCTATTTTTAATAGAAAAGAAAATAATATTAATAATAGCATTAGTTTGTGTTTAGTTTTTTTGGGTATCAAATTTTAATTTTAGCAAGTGAAAATATTTTTGTTAGTATTTATAAATAATTGTATATTATCACCGCCACCTCGTGTTAGTATATTTGAAAGTAATACCCGCCTTGTCTCTGTGGCCTCTGCTTCATCTTTGTCATCTCGAAGTCTCTTATTGACGTCTCTGTTTATATGACAAAATGAAATATCCTTAAATAAGGGGATGTAATCTCAAGAGTTTCTAAAAAGCTTTAGTATTTATAGATTTGTCTTCCTTTGTTAAAGAAAAACTTTTTGTGGTACAAAAAGTTATGGTACAAAAACTAACAATTCACGAAACAATGAGACACAAACATTGTGTTATTAAATAATGATTGAAGAATAGAATTAACGAATTACTTAAGTAGATCTAGCTGTTTTACAAGACTTTCCCTCTCGATAGCAATTCCCTCAGACAGCATAAGAGCAGCTCTATACAAATAAAATAAAAATTCAAGTTGAAATTTACGAATAAAATAATATTAATAACGTATTTAAAATAACTGGTTAATAAATACATTTATAGAGGCCTGATCTGAAAAATTTGAAAAATGTTTTTTTGTAAATACATGAATAACTATATATAAATAAAAGGGGGGAGGAGAGAGAGACAAATGTCTCTTTAAAATGATGACACATAAGACATCATATGTAAACTCTACCTCATCTACCAAACAAACTTATGTGTCTATTCAAGACTTGACGCTTCTGGAGCAGATTGCATAGGATTCATTTATTGGACATCCGTAGTTATTTCCCTTGTATTTAAAGATTCTTAAGCCTCGGACGGATCTCTCTCCAGTCCACCACTATTGACCTCCCTCCACACCGCCCACCACTATTGACCTCCCTCCACCCCCCCCCACCACTTTTGACCTCCCTCCACCCCCCCCCCCACCACTTTTGACCTCCCTCCACCCCCCCCCCCCCACCACTATTGATCTCGCTCCACCCCCCACTCCCCTCCCGCTGGTTACTGTCACTGTTATGTCATTATCATTGACCGGGCATTGACACTAATGACAGCTTGTGATATTAAAGAAAATGTAGTCAACGTTCCACTGCTATCTTGATCCACCACGCTCTAAAATTGTTCATTTAGTTTTAAAATCATTCCAGCATGAGAAGTATAGGATAAATACAGTAGCCCTATCTATATTGTTTTCAATCAAGCCATTTAACATTTTAATTTAAAAATGTATTATATAAATGCATATAATATCAGGCTTTTATATCATTGATATATATCTCAAATTATATGAATTTTTATTATAAAGCTTATCTATTTTGTATGCAATGAAGTCTGCTTAGTTTTTAATTTAAAATGATATTAAATGGACATAATAACGTAACTATTGAGATTATAAGAATATACACATGAATCAAGCATAAAGCAATGTTTCTCTACGCTACTTTGTTAAAGTTAAGTACTGTACAACTGCAATATTATATTGTTAGGATATTATTTTCAGTACTATCCCAATGTTCCATTATATATAGGCAACCTTTTAATCAACACACTTTCTGCTGGCTATAACTATAATTAATTCTGTTATTGAGGCACTCGTTTTTCTGTAAACTAGTCAATGTTAGTAATTTAGTTTTTATTTAAAAAATGAAATAACACCCTTTTAATGCCTTGGGGGAAATAATTAAGAAATATTGTTTAATATACTTTTATAAGCAAAAACTGTTAACAAACCACTACATTTCAGTGTTAAAGAAAATAAAATGAGTCCAGTGGTTAATATTTGTTTCGCTGCTTTTTTTTTATACCTTCGATTACGAGTTAGTCTTGGTTTCTGAAGGCGAAGGTCACTGTCGAATTTAACTGAAAGTTTATTTTTGTTACCTCCCTGGAGAATGTCCTCACATGACCTTAACGATGGACAGATTTGATTGGAGAATGAAAATGGGTAAAAAAAAAATATGATAGGATTAAAGTCGTCTTTAAGTTTCACGTTGATTTTAGCCGATATGACAATCAAGGTTGCTAATAATAAACACAGCTTAGAAAAAAAAAACGAAAAAAAAAACAACTAATAGGTACACAGCTTTGTAAATGTTATTAGAATGTGTTGTATCTTAACTTTGTTAGGAGTTGTTCATAAATAGTCAAACACATGACGGGAGGGGTGTGTGGGTAAGAGATTGGGGGGGGGGGGGCAAGATTAGACATTAGAAACAAAGTGCTTTCATCATTAATAAAATACACAATACATGCGTGACCTTATTTATGGACGACCGTCTATAAAGTTATATAATGATGTTCTTTGTCGTAAATTTTTTTGAGCGTGTGTGGGGGTGGGGGGGGGGGGGATAGAGCCCTTGTAGCCAATGTAGATCAGTTTTTTATGTGTCCACAAGTGACAATATACGAGTTGCCGGTTTTTAAAAAATCAATAAAAGTTGTGTTACGTCCTTTATTTACCCCTCCCTACCCCCTCCTTGTAGGATTAAAAGAATGCTGCTGATAGAAATATCGGTTTCGATTTGACAGATATCAAAAGGCCGTTTTTCTTTCTTCTTCATTCTTAACAGAAAAATATTGAAGGGAATTTCTCCAACACAATGGGGTATCGCGTGTCTACATGTTGCGTGTCTACATGTTGCGTGTCTACATGTTGTGTGCCATAAGGCGCGATAGACTTTGGCTGCCCCGAGCTAGCTGGCCTCATCTGCTCAGGTTACCAAACTTGGACCCAGGGGCGTAGCGTTGGGAGGGCGAGTGTGCGGACGCCAAGGGTGCCGATTCCAGGGGGTTAAGGTACAGTGACTTGAAAAAAGTGTCCCGACTTTCCAATTTGGGGCGGGATCGCTTTTCATCAACGTGAATAACTAATATATATATATATCGGGGGAGGGGGGAATGGGAAGCCACGCCTCTGGTTGGGGCTCTTGGAGTGAGCTATCATACACTCTCTCGTCTGACTACGCCGTTTCCCAAATGTTATGGTTTTTTAATTATTGGTCTAGTTAAAAATTTAGTCGACATTCTTGTTATACAGCACTACAAACTTAAGGAAAACAACCAAATATACAGTAAATGCGGTGAGATATGCAGCGTTTCATTCTACAGAGTTGTTTCAACCCTCAGTCACGTTCAATATGCAATAAACGTTGTAATACAAATATACAGACATTGCTGGCTATGTTACGACATTTAGTTTGAGTATACAGTAGCTTATTTTCTTTGTAATTTTTGAGTGATAGGGGCTTCAAATTTAGAAACGAAATTTGAAATACTAGAGTGGTCCACAACATTCAATAGTATAAAACAGTAATAGATAATACTTCAAATATGTAGTAATGGGATATGGATATTAAAGGTCGAGGTTCGTTTAAAACCAAAAACAAATAATTAGCAGCTAGAAAGACATGGCACTCCTTACCTTGCTCTTTCTTTCTTCTCGTCTTTCTGTTGCAGTTGGATTTGATGAATGTACGACCTTGACTCTTCTAAGCTCTCTTGTGATTGGCTGAGGAGTTCCTCTAGCTCGTCTTTTTCCTGTAAACACGCGAGGCAGTGAATACATGAAGTTTATAAAAAAAAAAAAAACGGGAGACATTGGTGACATCATGTTTTTATACTATGGGACACAGTAGTGGTACCTTGTGTTTAAATACCTAAAGCTTACAATCTTGGAGAGAATGGGGACATCTAGTGTTTATGCTTTGGAGACAGTGGTGATACCTCATGTTTAAAACAAGTGTAACATCAAAGATTGGAAATACGGGTGTCCTATCGAGATAACCGCTAACCAGCCGATAACCGATAGCCGCTTAAGGACATGGGTATGAGCAGTAGCGTAGCCAGGATCATCTCATGGGGGGGGGGGGGGTTCAAATTTTTACCCGGAGACAAACTTTCGATTTGCACCCCCCCCCCCTCAAACTTTCGATTTGCAGCCCCCCCCCCCCCTCAAACTTTCGATTTACAACCCCCCTCATACTTTATATATATACCGAGGGGTCTATGGGGGGTTATGACCCCCCCCCCCCCTAGCCCCCCTCCCCTGCCTACGCCACTGGGTATGAGTAAATGGCTAGGTGTGCTACCAACGCAGGAGTACAAGCTACAGCAGGACATTACCTTTTGCAGTCTCTCATTCTCTTGTTTGGTCAGCTTCTCCATTTTGTTCAGCTGCTGCATCTTCTGCTCCAGCTGGTGATTATAAAAAAAAAATTAATCGTGCAATATAACCTTCGTTCAGCAGCAGTCAGTTATGGGAGTGTTGTGTTTTTACAGAATAATTATTAAGTCTATTCTAAAAACAGGTGAGGTAGGTTGATGATGTATTGTAATATCACGTTTAGAGTTAGGGTAAGAAACTAGGGTTAGGGTTAAAATATATAGGGATAGTATGAGCGTAGAAACCAGCTAGTTATGTTTTCTAACAGTAACCCAAAAACTCTTTTTAAAAACGATTCTTGTGGTATTATCGTACACTTATAACACTTACCACCCTATCGCCCCCCCCCCCCCCCACAGTGAGGGGAGAACGAAGACAACTATCATGTTTCAACTATCATGTTTATTGTTTTCAGAAAAAGTTATCGTCCTGAAATATTTTGATGTGCAACTCACCTCTTGTTGTCTGTTTAGAAACTCCTGGAGTTGTCTCTCCTTCTCGTGGAGTTGTTCTTCCAGTTCATTCCTCAGTTGTCTCTCTTTCGCTTTTTCCTAGGGGGCGCGTAACAAAAGGGTTTTAAAAAACAAACGGTATTCGCTTGGTATTTTTAAAGACATAAATGTACAGTCGCCACACCCAACCCCACAGACAGCGCCTTTGCTCGGCGTTGTCAAAATACGAACACTAAAACAGTACAATAACTAGGTAAAACATAACTAGTTAAACGATTCATTTTGCATTAGCTTCGGTTTTATACGCGGGCGCCCCTAACTTGAAAATAACGCGTTTTCAAAGACCTATGTAGACACAGATACAGAAAGTACTCAACCTAAAAATAGAACAGTATAGACAGACAAGATCCCAGTGGACGCTTGCTCGTCGCCAACTTGAATAACTATGTATAAAATTTATAGTTAGCAAGCTTTACAATATAGTTGGCAAGGTTTACAATTTTTTTTTACAATGCTGTTTCCGAAACGAAACGGTAAAAGTGATTGTAAATGTAAATGTATTGAAATTTTTTAAAAATGTTTTTAGATACAAATTATCGGGAAATGTAGGGGAAAAAAAGAAAAATACCTCCGCTAAAATTTTTTCCCGCTCTTGTTTGATCTGAAGTTCCATTTCCTCGTACAGTTTCTTCACCTCGCGTTCGTGCTCGTTGTTTTTGCTGAGTCAGCCAGAAAGGGAAATAATAAAAGTTAGATGTCATCCAGCAAGGGAGATAATTCAACGTTAGAAGTCATCCAGCAATATAAATCATTCAATGTTAAATGCCATTCAGTAAAGTAAGTAATAGTAAAAGTCATAAAAGAAAGGAAATTGTTTAATGTTATTTGTCATCCAACAAAAAAAAAAAATTCCATGTTAAATATCGTGTCTCATAGATAATCATTCAATGTGTAATGTGTCGTTAATAAATTATGTACGACCGCGTCTATAGCCTGACTCTTACCCCCCCCCCCCCTCCCCAAATATCGTAAAACTGTCACATATATGTATGTTTACGTCAGTGTTTCACCCCCTCTATAAAAACAACCCTAATTCTAACGGTTTTTTGTTTGAAATTTTTATCCTGACGAAGTACAAAACATATGATACGTCAGCTATTTACATCCCCCCTCCACCCCATTTGCCGCTCTCCTGTACCATAGGAGCACTAAAGTCTAAACCACCCTCCCCCCTCACCCTAGCTGCGTGGTGTCAGTATAAAACAAATATGTCCTGGCAATTAGCATATACTATTACAGGTTGAAACATGGGTAAACAGCTGACAAGCCTAATGTCACGGCTCTCAAATGACACTTCAAATGTCAGGACGAGTCTAATGCCAGGTCACTAAATTGTCACGAGCTGTCTGATTACTATGATCTACTTAATCTCTAATCAGGTTTTTAAGTGACTTAGTCTCAGAGGCGTAGCGACCCTTCCCGGCGCCCGGGGACATACTTTCAATTTGGCGCCCCCCTCGGGAGCAAATTTTCGATTTGCACCCCCTCCCTCGAACTTTTCATTTGCACCCCCCCCTCAAACTTTCGATTTGCACCCCCCCCCCCTCGAACTTTTCATTTGCACCCCCCCTCAAACTTTCAATTTGGCGCCCCCCCCCCCTAAGGTCGGCGCCCGGGGACATATGTCCCCCCCCCCCGCCCCCCCCCCTCGCTACGCCTCTGCTTAGTCTTAACAAAAAAATTATATAATCCATATAGTCAATAGTCTCAACGAAATAGTTCTTGCTCTACTGGAAATTCCACCCCCTTGTTTATTATAGGTAAAAGGTCTGATATCTGTAAAGGTCTAACTAAATAAAAGTTATTTTATTAACTACACCAACTTAAAAAACCAACACAGCTGTTTGCTATTAGCTCAAATTAAGTTGTAACCATCTACAACATAATGTGTTGTAATCGCATTTTTACCAATTCACTAACACTCTATCACACAAGACATAATGTGCTTAACAAGCACATACGAACGTGAATATACCAACACACCACAACACATTACCTAACAACACACCACAACACATTACCTAACAACACACCACAACACATTACCTAACAACACACCACAACACATTACCTAATTAAGAAAGAAATAGGAAGTATAAAAAGTACAATCCAAGCGTCGTTAAACGCGTGTGTAAGGGAGGTGTGTAGTCGTCTGCAAACACGCTTGAACTTATGGGGGATTAAAAGGGCACGGCACACACACACTTATCAAGACGGTTGTCCTTAAAGGTTTGTAGCGGAACCTCTTAGGGCCTACTGACGGCGGTGACCTAGAAAGGCACACACGGATGTGGTGGAACAAGACTGAATGGTTTAAGTTTAAGGAAAAAAAAATTGTGTACGCAGACGAGGTCACGTGACATAGGGGCGGGACGTAGCATGCGCTAGATTGACATGTTACGAAAAGGAAATGTGAAATCATTGACATGGTGCACGTTAGCAGTTTGCCTGTGCAGGCGAAGGGGAGCGAATTCAAGCAAGGGGAGCGAATTCTTACAAGGGGAGGGAATTCTTACAAGGGGGATAGAATTAATAATAGAATTAATTTCATACTAAAAAACTAGAATAATTTATATAAACATTTTAAAAATTCCAAACATTTAAACTGCTGGAATAAGTACATCTTGCTAACATATTTAAAGGATATTTAAAGAAATCATGTCAGGACCATATTTTTTTACACAAATAAACTGTTCAAGTTAGCGTACAAAATCGGGATAGTAAGATTAACAGGTGAGATAACTCTTCCAGTCATTGCAGTAAGGTATCGAATGATAATGGTTTAATAAAGTACCTAAAATCTAATAATTTTATATCTACATATTTTTAATAATTTAAATATTATTATTATTTATGACATTTTTTTTGTAGCATTCCTTGTGATTTCCCTCTGCTAATGTGTCCCCTGGAATTGATTAAAAATAAATAAATAAACCATCATACTCTACATTTTTAACGTACTTTTGTAGGGCCGCCTCAAGAGACTGGAAGTCACCTTTTGACTTTTTAATGTCGTTAGCCACCCTGGCAATAAACTCCTCGAAAGTGCTGGCCATATCCGGTTCCTCTCGATGCAGTTTGAGCCACATGGCCTTGATAATATCCTCACTAGAAGATTGCATGTAATGTTGTTTTTTTTTTTTTGGTTGTAAAAATGTGTGTGATCACTAATCATTAAAGCAATAATTATTCAAGATACGTTTTTAAGAATTTAAAAAAAAAGTGTCTAAATTACGTTGAAACCGTTGAAAGGAGCCACCACTCCCCAACCCCTCCCTCTCGAAATTAAAATATCATGTAGTAAATAAACATAAGTAATAATAAATACAATTTAACGTAGTGATGCTACTATCATTTACTCGGGTTTCAATTTTAAAAATGCGTGTTTGTTATTCAATGAACAAAATACCAGTTTAATTTTTAAATTAGAAAGTTACTGTTATTTAAAGCTTATATATCTTACAGCCAATATGAATTTTCATTAGTTCTCATAATTTATTCGGTATAACTATTTTTTGTTTAATATACTTTACATAAAACTACAACGGTAAAATAGTGATGTAGACTGTTAGGAACGGTAACTCAGAAAAATACAACCTACTCTTGGAAAACGCGGTTAGCTCCCACATGTCCCATAAAATTGTGATGTAGACTTTAAGGAACGATAACTCAGAAAAATAGAACCTACTCTTGGAAAACGCGGTTAGCTCCCACATGTCCCAGCATTTCAATGAACTGTTTCTCTTCCATGGCTGGGTCATTCACGCCCGCCTCTCCCTCGAACACAGTCGTCTCGTGCTACGAACACATACACGCATGCAGAAAGTGTTAGCGTCGGCAACAATTTGCACATATTTGATAAAAATACATTAGCTTAAAAAATTAATTAATAAACATTAACAAGTAATTTACTTTTTTTTACAGACAGAAAATGCTAATTGACCACCAGACTTATCTATTAGAATTAGCTATTTTATAAGACTGTTAAAAAAGTTTTTATACTGAAATGTCGCTTCTTCAGAACCAGATTGTTTTAACCAGATTGTTTATTTCGATATTGTGATTACCGTTGTGTTTTAAAAACCCCAAAAGCATAAAAAATGGGTGTTCATGACTCTTGCCACTATAAATAAAAATTCAAATTTAACTAGCTTTCTAATGGACAGATGAAGTAGAGTTCTTGACCTCGACATTTGAAGGGATGGTGTGGTCACCCCTATGCCCAGCCACCTTTCTCCTTTCCCCAACTGAAGTCAGGGAAGTCATAAAGTCACAAATCTGAACCGAGATCCGAACTCGAGACCTTCGGACTAGCAGCCAAACGTTCTATTATTCGACCACGCCTTGTTGTAAAAATTCCAAAAAAAAAAAATGGAATTCAAACAGTCTGGTTCTAAGGAAGCTATGTCTGGCAACAAAAACAAACTGAATAAACTGTTCATTAGTTTTTAAAGTGTTTACCTCTTCGTCTTCGTAGTGCTCGCGGGAGACGGACGGGGATCGGATACCAAGAAAACTTCCTTGAAAAAGAGATAAAGATAATCTTGCTGAGAGAAATTACGACGCATATAATAAATCTTGTATTGAGAAGTACGGCAAAATGTTCAGATGGTGTTTTAAATGTGAGCACTGCCGTTTTGCCGTTTTTCTGGTAGTTCTAGGGGAAATAACTCTAAGACCTATGTACGATCAAACATGCGAGGGTTATCGAACATGAGCCAAACACAAAACTGAATTATCTCAACTCATAGACAAATTTAGAGCGATATAGTTTAGAAAAAAAAAAATGTTGCTGTGGGATTTTAAAGTACTTTTAAATACAGGCAAGGAATGTGTTGATATAATTAAAATTGTATTGTCACTCATGCTTATTGTAGTTTTTAGTTTTAAGTGTGTGTGTGGGGGGGGGGGTACGAGATAACTAGATTGATAACGTCCAACAACTCTTGCATTAAAAAATGAAATAAAGTTGTACCTAAATAGCCTTTCATTGTGCCACTGTTAAATAATAAAATAAAAAACAACAGAATAAACAACTGCTCACCAAAACCCTCGGTAAACTCCTCTAAAGTCAGGTAACCGTTGCCGTCGTTGTCTAAAGAATCGAAGACAATCTCCAGCTGATCGGGCGACACGGGAAGTTCTGCTCGGAGTCTCTGCATGTCGCTTTTTGTGATGAAACCTTTTTCTTCTTTGTCACACAGGCGGAACAGTTCCTGGTAATTAGAGTAACCTTTCACACTTGTAAGTCGGCAGCTTCTTTATCAATATACTTTTTAGTACGTTTAAAATATTTAAGGCTAAAATTATGCTTTAAAAGGTTCACAATATTTTAACTTTCTTGGTATTATTCACAGACAGCATATACATTATGCTTTTAAAGCAAATGTTTAGTTAAAATTTAGCAGGCATACAGGCATGGCGTCACGCAAATGGGGGAGATAGGGAGTTATTGACATTTTTATACATGGAGCATATGTGACGTAATATTTCTTAAAACAAAAAGAGCTATGGCTATTGTTTTTAAGGTTTAAATGTGGAAGTGTGTGGGGGGGGGGGGGGCATTGCGACCTGAGCACACGTAGTAGAAGAAATTTTGGCGAAAAAAGAATGTGCTAAAATTGCGTTCAGTTTTGTGTAGATGACGCCCATGTAACTGACAAATTACAAGAGAAGACAACAAAGACTAAAGAGCTAAAACTGCTACACACAATACAAGTGTTTGGGATGTTACCTCCGCCTTCTGGGCCATGATATCCTGCATGTTATCCAGCATGTCTTGGTTTGGTTCGGTCATTAGATCTTCATAACTGTTGGCCTTGATCAAGTGCGCCATCTTGACCTATATTCCAATGAACTTATCTTTTCCTCTGTAAAAAAATAAATAAATAAATCTGAATACACCAGTATCAATTTTAATTTCATGAATTATATTTCTTTCCATTTCTGCTAATGGAAAATGGACAAACTTTTTAGAGTGAAAAAAACAATATCAAGATATAGCATTTCGGTGAAATTCAAGAAAAAACCAGAAAACTATTGTGCAAAACATATACGATTCTTCAAAGTTCTTTACAATAACGGTAAAATAAATGGTTTCATATGCTTAAAAATGCATAGAGAAGTAATATATACGCATATATATATATATATATATATATATATATATATATATATATATATATATATATATATATATATATATATATATATATATATATATATATAGTAACAATACCCTACCATTTATAGTTTTGTAATATCTCGAATCAATACATGCCACGGATCAAACCAATTGACAATACAATAGACAATGAACTCATTTAATACTGAAGGCTTATGTTCGGAGCTATTTATTAAAATGGAACAGCTTATCTCTGTAATTTTTTTTTAAAAGCACAATAAGGCAACACGTTGATTCGTTATCTTTAATTAAAGGTAATCAGCTCCTCGCAGTCCATGATGGCAAAGCTTGAATTTGACAATTCTTATACAGAGTAGTATGTCTACAAGTACTTACATAGTCGAATTATAGATAAGGTAGATAACTGGATCTAGGATAAAGCCCCCATTGGTTATATACAACTGGATGCAGCCAAATTTATTGTCAGTGTTTCTTTCAGACATTTTTTTTCGTGGGGGGGGGGGTCACTTAGAACTTTTGTGAGATGGGCTGACGGACACTGGTTACAGTATTATGTTCTCAATATAATTTTTTCTATTTCATTCGGAAGTGGATGTGGGGGTAAACGTCCTTCATGGTAGGGGTGGGGGGGTACTGTCAATGCCCCACCCCGCCCCTCTTTCCCGGAAGAGATGCTCGAAACGAAACTCTTTTTCCCTTTTGGGAGAAAAACCGGTTATAGTCCCCAGCGACTTACCGTTCCAAACCTCAAAAGCTTAAAAGGAAATATTGCTTGTTTAACGAAACAAAATAAATGAAAGATTTCAGGATAGAGTACGAGAGCGGAAGGGGAGGGATATTTCATGACTTAAGCCTGCGGAGGGATATTTCATGACTTAAACCTGGGGAGGGATATTTCATGACTTAAACCTGGGGAGGGATATTTCATGACTTAAACCTGGGGGGGGGGGGGATATTTCATGACTTAAACCTGGGGAGGGATATTTCATGACTTAAACCTGGGGAGGGATATTTCATGACTTAAACCTGGGGAGGGATATTTCATGACTTAAACCTGGGGGGGGGGGGGATATTTCATGACTTAAACCTGGGGAGGGATATTTCATGACTTAAACCTGGGGAGGGATATTTCATGACTTAAACCTGGGGAGGGATATTTCATGACTTAAACCTGGGGAGGGATATTTCATGACTTAAACCTGGGGAGGGATATTTCATGACTGAAACCTTCAGCTGATAGACGGTAATTCAAACAAACACCACAACTTAAAAAACGAAACCACTGTGAAATACCTCTAGACAAGTTTGTGAATAGACCAGCATAACCCACCAACAAGCCCCGGGGGGTAGAGCAGCCCCCCCCCCCCCCCCCCATCACACACTCACCATCACTACAACCTGGAATGCAGCAACGTGTTTAAAAACTAGCCAGGTTTAACGAGTGAGTACAACCAGCTATAAATCGATACGCCATGTTTCGACATTCCCGCATTGATAGGACGTCACAGAAAGCAATAATAGCCGTCTAAGTGTAGGGTAGGGGGTGTAGTATTAGAACCTGGTGTTTCAAGCTAGGTGTAGCTGTATCGGGGGGGGGGGGGGGGGCGGTGTCTTAAAAATACAGTGTATAATCAGCGTTAATAGTTAAATTGTGTGCATTACAGGGTGGGGATCATTACAAAAACAAAATTCTTCTTCACCTTTTATGCCCTCTAGTAGAACATAAGCCATTTACAAACTCCTTCTTTGCTTTTTTTCTGTACTTTGCTATGTTGTTCATAGCTATTTACTTTTTCCCACGTTTTCTTTAACTTGCTTTCTCTGTTTGTGTGTTTGTCTTTCCAATCAAATCTTGCGATCGAAATTTCTGGCACTTCCCAGTTAGCTAGCGCGCTGAAATTTTCAGGGAAGCTTTCTTTTGGATGACCATTGAATATTCAATTGTTATTATTACTAAATTGATCAATGGAAACATTTTATTGAGCATTTTAGACCGCTATATAATCTATATATATAATTCTCCTCTGCTAGCCATTAGAAAAAAAACCAGCGACGCGTACCTCGCGCGCAGTGAAGCGAACGATCACATGTCGCCACAGGCTTAGGGGCAGAGAATTTAGCTTGAACCGAGTTTAAACTTACAGGAGGTAGGCCAGTTTGGGGGAGACGATATGGTCGAGTGGTTGGGCACACGATTGCTATCCCACTCGACACGGGTTCAAATCTATGTGTTCTAGTCAGTAACGTATTCAAACAACGAGTTTTTTACGAGTTGTCTTTTTACGAGTTGTCTTTTTACGAGTTGTCTTTTTACGAGTTGTCTTCGTTTACCCAAAAAAAGTGAAAAGATAAAATCGATAGCAAGATTTTAATGCAAACAAACAGACAAAGACTAAAAAGTAGAAAATAATAATCATTAAAAAAGTTTTAAAAAACCCACGTTTTCTGATTGAACTAAAAAGTAGAAAATAAATGCTATAGGCCCTACATCACAATAATGCAAGCGATCACTCTACTATAAGCGAGCAAAAACGTGGGGCGCCGTGATTTTCTTACAGTTTCTAATACTGTTGACTCTCTACAAGCTCCCTAATAAAAGTCAATAGTATTATCTAATCAATAGTAATATAACTTTTACTTCGGCGCCCCACGTTTTTGATCGCTTATAGTAGAGTGATCGCTTGCATTATTGTGATGTAGGGCCTATAGCATTTATTTTCTACTTTTTAGTTCAATCAGAAAACGTGGGTTTTTTAAAACTTTTTTAATGATTATTATATCAAATATCATTCCTTGTACGATCACTGTTTAGCCGTGGTAAAGGGGGCGGGGGGCTGGGGTGAGCTTTGAAAAACACGGCGTATAATAAAAAATTTTACGAGTTACATATAGAGGTGGTGTTGGAGGGGCTATCAGAGTAATAATGTGTGAGTTATGTTACAGGCATGGGGCGCCGTGGTCGAATGGTAGAACATACGACTACTAACCAGAAAATCTCGATTTCGAATCCGGATTCATGTCAGTAAACGTCCCCGATTCCACCAAGCTCTAGTGGGTACCTGACTCACGTTGAGGAAAGTAAAGGAGGCAGGGCATAGTGCTAACCATAGTGCCGAGGTCACAGAAACAGGTGAACTCTACACTTGCCCAGATTTAAAATGGAACTTTTATGTTACAGTTAGAAATTGTGTAGTATAAATGTAATCAAAGAAAACAGCCTGAATAGACTTCACAGGATTTAATAGGTAAACTTTTATGGTTTTTACAGGTAAATTTCACAGATTAGTTGACAACTTATTTAACACAGCAACACTTACTTGATCTGGAACAAAGGCTATGGAAGCGAATCCAGAAAGAAAAGCAGGCTGAAATAGTGTTAGAGGGAATCCCTTCCAATCCAACATTTAAAAGAAGAAGACAAGATATAGTGAATTAAGCAAACACACATATAGAAAGTGCACAATCCCTTAGCATTCATATAATGCATTAAATAAAAACACCCATATACGTGCCCATATAACATTCATATAGTAATATAGTGCATTAAACAACATGACGCCTAGTAAAGAAAAAATATCCAAGACAAATAAAAATGTGAACAGCTTAATTCTCGAATCAATTTGAATAATTTAAAACAGAGAAACAGAATGTTTACCTCTCGAAAACCAAGGGAGCGACAGCTTGTGTGTTACTTTAATTTTCTGTCCTTTATTATTTTCAATTTAACATAGATCTACATAGATTGGCGCTACATGTTAACATAGCTTTTATTTTAAGATGTGTTGATAACTCTTCATCAGAGTTCTCCGTCCTAAATTAATGGCTGTCCCCAGCTATCGAGCCTCATCTGCAAAGGGTTCGAACCGGAGTCTTTACGGTTGAGCATTCTTAAGCTTTACTGACTCGACCACGCCGACCCCAATTTACTATGTGAATGTTAAAGATCATGCCCATATAATACATGATTGAAGGTGGGTTGTTCAATACAGTATGCTCATATAAATGCTAAACAAACGTTCAGATATATGTGTGGTTGTTTAAAAAACAGAATAATAAGAATATGAATGTCAAGGGATTGTGCACATATGTAAGATTGATGTATGAATTATAAGTGTACATACAATCAAGGGTAAAGAATTGGGTTGGTTGTTTACTGCAGTATGTTCATATTAATGTTGATGGATCGTGCATATACCATATGAGTAGTTGTCTAATGCAGTATCTGAATGATAAGGGATTATGTACCTATAGTAAAGAGCTAAAGGGTTAAGGGGCGTTTATTCATTGTGTTGTACTGTGTTAAGTGGGATGGGAAGGGGTAGAGTTAGGAGGTAGATTAGCGCTACGTTCACAATGTATTTTCATTTTGTCTCTTATTATTTTTTGTTACATTTCATATTTTGGGCTCACTTTTATGAATGTGACGCAAATATTTGACACTTTTTTTCTAACAAAATATGAGGTTTTAAATAATTACCAACGTAAGTAAATTAACTACCAATTTCAATTTTCTTTTGAAGTGATTCGATTCTTATGTATTATTTTTATATTATTAATTTTTATATTTTTAATTGTTGTAGCACTAGTTTGTCTTGTGAGTTGTTGGGTGGGTGTGGGGAAAATGTATAAAGCTGTTTCGGGGAGAAAGGGTATAAATTGTTGTATGTTTTTCAATTTGTTATGTAATAAGTGAATCATACTAACGTCAATAAATGTATTTAACCAATATATATATATATATATATATATATATATATATATATATATATATATATATATATATTGGCCGTGTACAAGATAGGTATAAAAAAGAGCCAACTAATAACTGTAGAGAAGAATATTAACAAATCAACCACAGGGGCTAGAAAAAAAATTAATAGATGTTAATAAAGATAAATGAAGTACTGCTGGGGCACGGCCGAAAGTAATGAAATATATATATATATATATATATATATATATATATATATATATATATATATATATATATATGTGTGTGTGTATATGTATATATGTATGTGTGTGTGTGTGTGGTGTGTATACAAATATTTGGCAAGGTTATTTTATTTACGAGTGTGTATTTTACTGAACCCTCTATAAATACGTAGATAAAATGAAGTTCATGTAGCCTTTAATCGTATAAACGAACACGTTTTAAGGTAATACGCCTGTACGATAAAAGACATCAAATGATAAAATTAGCTGGTAAATACACCAGTTATCTTCCTTTACTAAAAAAAAAACAATGGTAGAGGGTTGTGCTTGTAGGACAAGACTGGAGAAAAAAAAGATTTAATTTAAAACGTAAGCTGCCATGTTTGTCCAGAATTTAACGTCAGTGACAAATTAATGCTACACGGCTGTGTTAATTTATTAAATATGCTAATTGGACTGGGGTGGGAAAGAAAAATTATAATCATTACGTATGGGAAGTTAACGTTTCTGCTTTATTTTGTTTCCTAGAATTCACTATAACTGAAAAAATCCCACCTTCATTTTCTTCAGAGCGTTAAAAAAAAAGTTTAATTCATAAAAATAAGGCTTGTTTAGCTTACGGATATATTTGGCATTGGACTCGACTACTTCTCAATTTAAATTTATAAGAAAAATGTTCGAGTCATTATCATGTCATCCCCCCCCCCCCCCTTTGGTCTTAGCAATGAGCTGCCACCCCCACTAATAAGACAGTCCTATTTTTGTTATTAACACACACATGTTGATATAGTTTGTATCCCCAGATTAAGAACGATGTTCATTTAAATAAACACTTTTTTCTATTCATTTATCTTTAATTAACACCAACACATATAGGCGTATTTTTTCCCAGTAATTTGAACGTTTTTTTTAAGTAAATAAACTGGATACCAAATATATATTATATTTAAGAATAATAAAGTCACAAATGTTGATGAACTAAACAACTCACTGTTACGTTTTCTTGTTTATAAAAGCGGTCAAGTTTTCACCAATAACAATCTTCAGCCCGGTGTACATAGAGAAAGTATCCACTGCTTTAGTATCCCCACCTTGTTCTACCTTGCCAACGAAGCCTTATGTTACCTCACGTGGGGAGCACACGATTCAATCATGAAGATCGATCGCTGACGAGATTTACCCACCCCACCCCCTGTGCAACACATCCAAACATCTGTTTGCACGATGTACGTATATCAACCAGCAAAGCACCTACAATACACGATAAAGGGAGGCGATTCGATCAATGGTTTATTGATAGAAAAAAAATATAATTACACATTCTCGTAAACACCGCTGTGCTTTAGAAACGTCTTACGTCAGAGGAATGCATAAAACGTCACATATTCAACGTAAAATTAGCAATTTACGTCACTGATATATTTTACATAACAACAATATTTTTTGTATTACCTTAAAAATTAATTCCTGGAATAAATCTGTATAGCACAAGCATCCATAAACCCAATTGAAAAAGTACACGCGTTACACCAAATAGCAAAACATTTTTGTTTACTATTGAAATGTGTAAACCCTACCCAACCACAACCATTCGGGTCACCACTTGAAATCATTAATCATCCATACACGTCAACATGAAAACTGCTCAGATCAATGAAAACATCAACACACTGTGTACATAACAAACACTTTAAAAACATGCGCATGTCAGGTTGGACGTACACAAGAAGTTCCCACAGTTAGATCTAGATCTAGCGAGTTAGTTTTCTAGCTAGTTAGTATCCTTGAATATAAGTATACAAGACGTTCACGCTAAGTTAGATCTAGATCTAGCGAGGTAGTATTCTAGCTAGTTAGTATCCTTGAATATAAGTAGGCCTACACAATAAGTTCCCGCTAAGTTAGAACTAGATCTAGCTATCTAGTTAGTTTTCTAACTAGTTAGTATCCTTGAATAAGTACACAATAAGTTCCCACTAAGTTAGAACTAGATCTAGCGAGTTAGTATTCTAGTTAGTATCATTGAATATAATAATAAGTATACAAGAAGTTCCCACTAAGTAAGATCTAGATCTAGCGAGTTAGTATTCTAGCTAGTTAGTATCCTTGAATACGTATACAAGAAGTTCCCGCTAAGTTAGAACTAGATCAAGCGAGTTAGTTTTTTAGTTAGTTAGTATCCTTGAATAAGTATACAAGAAGTTCCCACTAAGTTAGAGCTAGATCTAGCGAGTTCGTATCCTTGAATATGCAACAACAAATTTAAGCTCATTAACATATTAAACAGATTTGAAGTTAGCTAAAAGACTTTATTCTTTTGTTTTTCAAAGATTATGTAAATTAACGTCTAAATGGGTTTTTGTTTTGATCAAGCAAAAACAAAATGGTGGTGAGGTTTGAACGAATCTAGTTCCCCCGTGTCTTAATGAAGCAACATATGCCAGGTGAAGCAAAGTTATACAACTAGACCACACAGCTTCGCACAATGTCAGCGGTACCTACCCAGGCAACAACTGATGTTAAATAACAAGCGATGACGTATAGAAGTCACATAAACGACAGGTATGTTTTGTTGTTATGGGAGTGCTTGGTCCAATGGTAGAGCATACGACTGCTAACCCGAGTCTTGAGTTCGAATCCGGGTTAAAGTCCAGAGAGCGTCACAGAGTCCACCCAACCCTGGTGGGTACCTAACTCATGTTAGGGAAAGTAAAGTCGGCTGGGCATAGTGCTGACCACACTATCCCTTCAAATGCCGAGGTCACAGGAACAAGTTAACTCTATTTCACTTGCCCCATGCACCGTCAGGTTCGAAAAGGAACTTTACAACGTACTAATGTTGCCAAATAATAAGGCTTGGTGTCGTGTCGTGGTCTAATAATTAGGAATGATGTATTGATGTTTTCAAATAAAGAGCGACGGTGTTGAGATGTATCATTGATATTGTCAAGTCATAATCTTTGGTGTTGTGACATCGAAATATTGTCAAATACTAAGCGATGACTTAGCGACAATAAATAATAAACGATCATATATTGATCTTAACCAAATATTGATGATGTCAAATTGATGTTCTCATATAAAGCAACGTTACGATAGTTCTGATTCTGCTAAAACAAAAAATTAAAACAATTGGTGTTGAGAGCTGAAGTAGTAGAAAAACCACGACCTGAAACCCAAACTGAATTGATTTCATTAGTTCCACGCGTATGAGGATTTAAATGACGGCACACTACCTATTTGTGACGAGGTGCTACATAGGAATGTACAGGGCGGTGTGTGTGTGGGGGGGGGGGTGTCAAGAACTGCGACGTAGCATTTTTTTTTCGTTCGGGGGAGGGAGGTAGACGTGCTACGGTGGGTAATAGTGTCCCCTCCCCCGAGATATGCTTGAAAGAAACTCTGTACCCACCCCTTCCCCTACCAGCCTTATCACGCTACTGCCGTTCATAGCCATGGATTTTATTTTATTTTAAATTAAATATTGTAATTTGTAAGACTGTTTAAATGAATATAAAATCAATTTTTTTATATTGAAATATAACCCACAATCTGGCGGGCTCGAATTACGCAAGGATCAAATTAATCGTAATAACGATTTTAATCTCAAATTATTTACACGGAAAAAGATTTTTTTTTTTTGCGCAATCGAATATCACCAGCTGTTACTGCTCTGGCTATGTATTTGGTCCAGTGTATTCACTTCAAAGTTTCCACAATCTGGCGGTGTTTAGTTTTGTGTTGTGAGCTGGATTTTGCCTAGGCCTGTCCGTGTCTTATATCCTGGGTAGTTTTATGCTACAAAGCGACCTTTCGGGACTTGTTTTTGGATAGAAAGATGGGGGCGTTATCAATGGGGGTCGCCGTAAGCAGATATTGTGAAGGACGTGGAGTCGAGCGTTGGGGTGAGGGGGGGGGGGGTAGCGCATTAAATACGTCACTTTTGAGACACGGACGTTTCCGGCTCAGCCCCCCCCCCCCCCCTCACATTAGCCAGGCTGAAATGGATGAGGTAACTCCAACTAACTTTCATTTGAAGAGACCGGGTCGAATGACACATGTTGGCCGCTATCTTCCGTAGAAAAGACGTTATTATGAGTAGTGTTTCTTTCAGGCATCTCTTCTCGTCTACCCCCCCCCCCCCTTAATGAGATGGAATTTATATAGAAATATATACTTTTACCAGTGTCGTCCCCGGTCCCGTCCCCCGTCCCCAGAAATGTTAGGTCCGCCCTCCCCAAGAAAGTTTCAGGAAAGAAACACGGATTAACAGGAGCTGGCGTCAAATTGTGGCATGCTGTAATGACTTGAAGTAGATTTCTCCTGAATCTCAGTATGTCCTCTTGCCAGTGGCGTTATTAGGGTATGTGTTAATTTGTGATTGAACGGTAGTGACGCCGTTAGGGTGCCGTACGAAATTAGAGGGATTGTTGTTAACAGACCGAATTCTCGACGCGTCAATTTGGGTTGCAATGAGTGACTAAAGAATGTAACGGCGTAAATAAAAGTAGTGATGTTTACAGACAGAATGCCAGTGGCGTCTCTAGTCGTTTGTTGTGTTCCCCCGCCCGTACCTCACGATAGAATGAAACTTGACACAATGACCGCTGATTTGATGGCCTGTAGACGCAGTGGCGTAGCGAGGTCGGGTGTCACCCGGTGCGACACTTAATGGTGTCACCCCCCCTCCAGAGGCGTAGCGACCCTTCCCGGGGACAAACTTTCAAATTTTCGATTTGCACCCCCCTCCAACTTTCGATTTGCACCCCCCCCCTCAAGTTTTCGATTTGCACCCCCCCCCCTCAAACTTTCGATTTGCACCCCCCTCAAGTTTTTCTCCATATATTTTGCTATTTTTTGCCTTGGTGTCACCCCCCTAAATGGTGTCACCCGGTGCGGTCCGCACCCCCCGCCCCCCCCTCGCTACGCCCCTGTGTAGACGGACTAACAAAGCGCAGCTTACCGGGGTAAAATCATAAGGCGCTCGTTAAACTGACTTGTAGCGTCACAAAACGTCTGGTGCACATTTAGAAAACGGGTGAATGTAGAATTTGGTCACCGAAAATCAGGACCCACCTACAACACTTCAGTCAACTCTTCGATACACACGAGAACCAGAGGAGTAGCAAGCAGAGAACTGGGGGAAATCAACTTTTGCAAAAGGCGTGGGACTGCGTGGTCGTGTGGTAGAGCTTATCACTGCTAACCGGAAAGGCGCGAGTTCATATCTCTGATGGGTACCTGACCAGAGGCGTAACGAGGGGGGGGGGGGGAAGGACATATGTCCCCGGGCGCCGACCTTAGGGGGCGCCAAAATGGGTTGGAAAACAAATTGAAAGTTTGAGGGGGGTTGCAAATCGAAAGTTTGAGGGGGGGGGGGCGCAAATCGAAAGTTTGAGGGGGGGGTGCAAATCGAAAGTTTGAGGAGGGGAGGGGGTGCAAATCGAAAGTTTGAGGGGGGGGTGCAAATCGAAAGTTTGTGGCTGGGGTGCAAATCGAAAGTTTGTCCCCGAGCGCCGGGAAGGGTCGCTACGCCTCTGTACCTGACACACGTTAAGGAAAGTAAGGCGGCTGGCCAAAGTGCTGACCACACCATCCCTTCTAATGTCGAGGTCCGATAGATCGTGAGGTCTGAAAGGGGAAATTTACTTTTATAAACGCCCATACCCGTAGCTCTTATATTGATTATACTTCTAACTCTATATTAATATTTCGTGGTAATAAAAATGCTACTGTTAGAACGTGCTCAATTTTATTGACTAAATGTCATTAAAACTGTTCAATAGTATTTATTTTTCTATTACACAAAACAAGCAATATCACCCCCCCCCTCTCCGCTAACACCCTACACCAATGACACAAATAGAGAAAAAAAGAAACAAATACCTTAAGATCTTTGTACATAATTTATTCTTTGGCTGGTAAAGCTTGCACTACAAAGACATTAGCTTTCATGTTTAGTACAGTCACATAAAACAATATTGGTACGAAGTTACGGCAATGTGATGAAGATAATAATCTTTCTTCTTCTTCGTCGTTCTTAATTTTATTATTGGAAGGTATCCTCTACAACACAATTAAGTATACGTGTCATCTGGTTATGCGCCATTAAGGCCATTGACTCCGATTTCAGCCTGCTTTTCTTTTTGGATTTGCTTCCATAGCCTTTGTTCATCCAAGAACAAACTACAAGTTGTTTGATTTTGGAGTTGTCTCTCTTAGAAGAGTGGCTGTCCCCAGCTAACGAGCCTCATCTGCCCGAAGGCAGATTATTAGATAATCATAACCTTGGAGATAACGGCTTCAACAGTTGATGAGAAATTTGAAGCATCGCCAGCTGCCATCATGCAATCCATTGATGTAACTGCTGGTGCAAGAAATCTGTTATAAGACCAGTAGTTATACTGAGTAGGGGTGGGTGGGTGGATGGGGAGGTTTATTGGGGATATGTAGCTAATGTAGTAGTGCAAATAATTAGGGAAGTCATTCCATAGGAGACAGCCCTTCCTCCTTTTCCTCCCCCCCCCCTCCATCCCATGCAACATAAACTCATGCAGATGTCCATTTATGTAATATGGCTGAAAGGCAATAACAATATAATTAACAGTATTATATATGCCTATATATATACATATATATATATATAGTGTAAATAAGAAACATCTATAATACTTTTGTTTTAAAATCAATACAAGGTTTATATTAAGGCATGTATAAAAGAAAATTTTTGTTTCGTAAAGTTTTAAAAAATGTAAAAATTTAAATAACAGGATATTAGTGTAAGTTTTGGTATAAAAGTTACATGTAATTCTTTAGGATAAATACAATGATGAAAAACAATTTTGATTTTTAACTTTTTACAAGATACATTTTTAACAACAGGATATTATTGTAAGCATAAAATTAACATGTAATCCCTTAGGATAAATAAAATAAAGAAAAATAAGTTTAAGTTTTACAAGATTCATTTTAAGCAACAGGTTATTTGTGTAAAGTCTTAGTATAAAAGTTATTTAATTCTTTAGAATAAATAAAAAAATAAAAGTTTATATTTTAAAGTATGTAATAAATGAGTATAAGATACAATATAAACAACATGATATAAGTGTAAGGTTCTTGGTGTAAAAGTTTCATTTAATTCTTTAAGATAATTAACGTGACTGACTTTAATTTAAATCAGTCACTCTAAAGTAATATTCCACTCCATATTTTTAAAAGGGGCGTTCTGCAGACTCAAGTCTGGACAGAGATCCAAACTTTAATATCTTGGGTTAGCAGTCAAGAGCTCTATCTCCTGGCCACAAGGTAAAAAAGAATTTGTGTCATTTTTTTCACATAATATATATGGTTTAAAGAAAAGCCCATTTTGTTAGGCAACTTTGCTGGTTTCAAAATAAAAGAAGATGAAGTTTATATTTTAAAATACAATTCTTTATATCTGCAGAGAATTAGATGCCTCAGAAAAATAACAATTTTCAATTTGTTGTTAAATTTATATTATTAGAAAGTAGAGTACCTTTTCAACAATCAAAGGATTTATTAAGAAAATAAACAAAGAAAAACATCAAGGGACATAATCCATTACTATCATATAAAATTTTCAATATTCAATTAGCAGCATTCAGATCTTTACAAAGTAAAGTATTTTCTATTATTTAAAGGATAATAAACACTGGGTTAAGGATATTGTCTTCTGTAACATCCAACTATTTTATTTTTAGAAATATAGGTTCCACAAAAAATTCCTGAAGGAATGTTACACCCTGCTAACATCCATAGCTAAAGGATCTTTCAGCAGATTTTTTTCTATTGTTGTACGTAGACAGGCCATACATCGTGTTATGTTGGCAGGCCTTAAGTTCCTTACAGACTGGAAAACTCCTTGAAGTTCTATGGGCCAAACATCCTTAAAAAAAAGTTTTTAAATAGATTCATGAACTGATAATTTTAACTTGTAGAAAAACAGAAAACTTGAAAATTATTTCAAGAGACTCGTAAAAAAAAATTTAAAGTATTGATTTAACTTATTTTATGTTATATATTTATTTTAAAAATAATTATGTCTTAAAATTTTAGCTTTTTATTAATTATTTTTATTTTAAAAGTAGAGATTAAATGTTGTATTCTAAAGTGTGAATTACTACACTTTGTTAAATTAAACACTAAAAAGAAGAGATTAAATCTTTTCTCTAAAGTGTATATTAATACAATTTACATAAATGGACACCTACTGGTAGCTCAGAGTTATCAGGGGTCTCTCCAGCTATGATATACACAACCCCATCATGTAGAATGGCACCATGCCAATAACGTGCAAAGTCCCACAATTGTGACTTTGGATGGATGGTGGAGCTTCTGTCATTTAGTTTCATTTTCCAAACACTTCCTTCCTGTATTAAAGGTAATTAAAAAAAAATCAACTCATTGAGTATTTCAGTAAATTAAATTTACTTACTATATCAGCTACTCAGATAAATAAAGTAGAGTTTAAGTAAATAAACTGATACTATATGACCATAACTAGAGAATGTTATGCAGGTAATTGCAAAACTTCAACAGTTTTTACAGAACATTCATATAAAATATTTAATCACCTAGATAAATCTTGGGCATTAAAATTCGAAAAAAACTAACAAGTTGTTTTTTTAATCAAATCACCTGTGTTGTGTTAAAGGTATAACACCATAAATGTGTGAACTTTTTTTTAGTTCATGGTTACACTTTAACAATTTTTCTTGATATATATCATTAACACAGCACAGGAATAATGAAAAAAAAATCTTTATTCAATATTTATTCATCTGCAGTGAACTACTTAAATTTGAGAGACTGCTGAATACATAAAAACCTCAATTACTACATTACTAATCTACATAATGACTTAGTCAACCAGGCCACTCCAGGGGTTCTTAACCTGGGTTCAATTGAACCTCTGATGTTTGGACAGTCAGTCTCAGGGGTTCTGTGGAGGTCAAGACACACACCTGACTTGAATTTGTCAGTGGTGACAATAGAACTATTAAGAAGGATTTGTTGAATGCACATATGAAACTGGTGGGGTTCAGTACCTTGAAACGGTGAAGAACTACTGGGTTACTCTAAAACCTAACATACACTTTTTTTTTTACCTGAGTAACCAGATAAATTTTGCCTAGATCTATTATTGTCCTGGGTAAACACGTTTCCGATGGCATTTCACCAAGCACATATGACGAGTGTGTGATGGTGTTGAAACACTGCACCGCTTTGGATGTTACTGTGTCATTTTCTTTACCCCCACATATGATGACTTTATTTCCTGCATTGAAAAACTCAACAGTTAAAAAATTATAAAGCAAAATTTGTAAATATTATAGCCACTATATGAACAGTTTTATTTTCTAGCACAGAATGTGTAAATTATTAAGCAAGTAACGAAATAATTGAAAAATAATTTTAGCATCACTTAAAAATTGTTTGAATTATCTCCCCTAACTAACCCATATTTTTTTTTAAATTATCTAACTCAATATTTAATAACATTTTTTAAAAATATTTGAGCATCCTTTTATGTATATTTTTAATACATTCAGTGTTTTATAGGAAAACTATCAGCCAAAGATTGGTAACTTTACATTAAGAAATAAAACAACAAAATTAAACAAGAATAAAACTATTTGTATCATTATCTCCCTTTGACTGACCTATGACAGCTGAACCACTTGACCTTACAGCTGTGTGAAGAAAGCCCACATCTGTCCATACAGCTTTATTTATATCATAACATTCCACACTATTTAATGTTGTGACCTGAAGATATTTTTAGGTTTTAATTAAATCATTTTTAAGAAAAGAAATTAAATACATTAAATATTTTCAGTTAGCTTATATAATTTATGGGAGGTTTTAACATAGGCTTATAAAATTTATTGTAATAGGGGTAATACAGTAATACAAAACATGGATTTTTAAAAGCAAGTTTATTTTATCACCTACCTCATTGTTGAGACCACCAAGGACATAGAGACAATGACCAACTGAAACTATGACGTGGTTTCTTCTTCCAACATTCATGGGAGATAACTTCAGCCATGAGTTTTTACGTGTTTCAAACTGTTAGAAGAACACACAATGTCAGAATTATTAAAAAAATAACCTTTAAATAGTGAATTTGTTACCTAGGCATATTGAGCTAGGTTCAAATAAAATACATAATTTTTTTTATAACAAAACTATAGACAGCCACAACTGTCAAAAGTTTGGTGTGATTTAATAGAAATTGTTTCTGTAGAAACAGGATTATGTGGCCTTAGCAAGTCGTATATTATACGACAAAAGTAGTGCTTATCATTGCTAAGTAAGTTTAATGGAAAGACAAAGACACTAACTAGAGACCCAATGGCAAAATGCAGATATTAATGAATTAAAAATAAATTATTATTTTAAAAAATTGGCTTTAAAAAAATTATAACAAATTAATTTCTAGTCTCACTTGAAAAAGAGCTGTCATTGTGTTTTTACCACCAGCCACAAAAATGTCATCCCCGTATGAGCAGGCTGAACTTCCAAGTCCCATATCCTCAGGGAGTGGCGGTAGTTGAAACCACTCCTCAGTTTTAAATCTGAACAATTAATTTAAAAGTTAATTTTATAAAACAGATTAATGAACATATTTTTCTAGAAGAATATCAGGTATTAAAGAAGCTGACAGTTTACTAGATAAAGGTATTAATATTTTAGATAATCCATAGGCCTATTTTTTGTTGAGTATTACAAATTGCTGCATATTTTCATACATGTCATTAATTTAATTGGGGTCGGCGTGGTCGAGTCGGTAAAGCTCATGGTTGCTAAACCGAAAAGTCTCGAGTTCAAACCCTCGGGCAGATGAGGCTCGTTAGCTGGGGACAGCTGAATCGTTATTCAGCCACTCTTCTAGGAGAGACAACTCCAAAATTAAACAACTGCTGCCTTGTAGTTTGTTCTTGGTTGGACAAAGGCTATGGAAGCAAATCCAAAAAGAAAAGCAGGCTGAAATCGGAGTCAATGGCCTCAATGGCGCATAACCAGTTGACACGTAACGCTTAATTGTGTTAGAGGCGTGGTCGAGTCGGCAAAAAGCTCATGGTTGATAAATTCGAACAAAGTCTCGAGTTCAAACCCACTGGTCGATAAATCTCGATCCCCTTCAACACTAATAATTAAGAACGAAGAAGAAGAAGAAGATTAATTTAATTGGACATCATCATAGAAATTCATTTTAATGGTAAATTAACATGTGTTTATATTGTTCATCTTGTAAATGAATTTTTAAAAATGTAAGTATGAAATGAAAATGGAACAGACTTAGTTATAAAGATGATGATTATAACATTACATACACATAGGCGTAGAAGTTGTCTTTTCCTTCCCCTAGAACTAACATGACATTGTCAAAATTACTGGCTCTTCTATACATAGAGTTAAGTGAGCACTCGTCATGACGTCTTGCAAGTATAATGTGGTACTCCAGACTACGTCTCACCATCTCTAACACCTTAATAAATAAATAGACAATCAAATAAAAGTTTATTATTTTGATTACGATATTTAGTTTAAGTTCATTAGTGAAACACGGATATCATTAATTTGATTTAAGTAAAGTATGTAAATGAACAACTAAAATACTTTTAAAGTAAAATTAATTATTTAACTTGCTATTTAAAATTATCATTATAATTTTTTAAAATACATGAAACATACTCAGAAATCTAAGAAAAGTTTGAAAACAATAAAATTTGGAAAGATTAATCTGGTTAATTATTAGGTTAATTTTCTTCAGTTTTAAAATTGCTGATAAACCTTTGTGATTGAAAAATCTAAATACCACTAAACAAAATAAACTTAAGTTAAACAGTTACCTCCTGATTCTCTAGGATCATCTGCTCCGTTAAAAGTTTCCTGAGGATAAAATCCTCGCTGACCAAGTTGAGACGTGACAAGGCAAAGAGACGTGACAGATGTTTACGTCGAGCTTCTTCATGCCCCACCCACAAAATGATTGCATCTACAACCTGCATTAGATTTTATCCCAAACACTTAGTGCATTAAAAAGAGGGAGTAGAGCAGAAAAGATATTGGTTGATTTTTGTATTTTTGTTCTTGCTGTAAGTAAATTTTAAAATATCTGAGGTTTGAAGTCTGTTACTTGTAGTATGTTTTTGCTGTTTTATTATTCCAAAATTAATTTTTCATTTGGATTCTCTAGCAATTAATTTGTAATGAGGAATGTGTACCTCTAATCTATAATTAAGGCAAATTAATTACAATTAGGGTTGTGTAAAGTAAGCAGAACATTAAAGGTAAATATTAAATAACTTCTTGTGCACAATATAAATCAGCCTGGGTTTATCTGTTACTTGTAGTATGTTTTTGCAGTTTTATTATTCCAAAATTAATTTTTCATTTGGATTCTCTAGCAATTAATTTGTAATGAGGAATGTGTACCTCTAATCTATAATTAAGGCAAATTAATTACAATTAGGGTTGTGTAAAGTAAGCAGAACATTAAAGGTAAATATTAAATAATTTCTTGTGCACAATAAAAATCAGCCTGGGTTTATCAGAAAAAGTTTCTTTATCTAAAAATCTGTTCCTGATTTTCTCTAACTGACCTCCTCCTCGTTTGGCACATTGAGATCCTCACTGGCAACCATCAGGCAGATGTCATCTAGGTCACAGGCCAGGAAGTCTTCAGTGCTTTTGATGGAAGGGAACTCTCTGTGAACAAAGTTCCAGGCTTCGTTTGCAAGCACCTGGGGAAAAAAGAATACCACAAGACTATAAATTTGGTATTTTTTTTTTTTTTTTTTTTTTTATATTTAAATATATTGTGCTCGTAATGAAACTCTTACTATTTACTGAGAAATTATTAAATTAATTATATAACAATTACATTTCTATTTATTTATTTTCAGAAAAATGTCCGTTATTCCATTTTTTTAAAATCTATACTTTTACTTAAAATCTTAGCAGAGTCGCTTACATTTTTTTTTTAAATTTAAGGATTTTTTTTTTGTCACTAGTTGATTACAATGTGCTTAATGAAAGTGAAAGCCTATACGGTTAACAGTGTAATGTTGTTAACTTTATCTTTAATTAGAGTTATCTAACGTGGTGTTTATTTAGTGTTTATTGACTGCATTATTTCCCTTGGTGTTGAATCAAATCGTTATTCGGGTACATTTCTTGTCTGCAGTAAAAAAATTTACAATATAGCGCACTACATAAAGAGCGTTGGTAGATTTTTCTATTCTCCATTATGAACACCTTACAACAAATGTACGGCAGTCTTAAACGCCAAATCACCGAAGCCGTACCACCCCCCCCCCCCCCCATCCACCCACCCTTCTTCAAATTTTTCTTGGAATTTACATTCAGTTTGTCCGCATTCTAAATAAGGATGATGGATAATGTGAAGTAACAGTTAGTAACGCTAGTGAAGAATAAATTAATTTCATCTCCGTGTTCTATACCTTACCAGTGGCTCCTGGGGCGGGGGGGGACACCATTTAAGGGGGTGACACCAAAACAAAACAATTGCAAAATATCTAGAATAATTATACTTTTTGACAATTTAATGAATGGCTAATTAGAGAAAAAGAATTTACAAATTGACGATCCCGACAAGGTGTGTGTGTGGGGGAGGGGGGGGTGTTTGACGTAAACATGCAAAATATACAGAAAACAATGCTACATCTAGCTATATTAACAATTGACTATAGATAAACATTGTTAGTATTAGCTGTTATCACTTTAAAGCTATTACCAGGGGGAGGGTGGAACCAACTGATGTGTCGCACCGGGTGACACCCGACCTCAGAGGCGTAGCGACCCCCCCAAACTATCAATTTGCACCACCCATCAAACTTTCGATTTGCCCCCCCCCCCCCCCCACCTCAAACTTTCATTTTTTTTTCAACCCATTTTGGCGCCCCCTAAGGTCGGCGCCCAGGGACATATGTCCCCCGCCCCCACCGCCTCGCCTCTGCCCGACCTAGCGACGCCACTGTACCTTACAACTGCTGAGCCTGGCTTCCCGCCATATGGTCAGGCAATTGTCGTTGGAGATGTGGTCAGCGAGGAAATCCTCGCAGTACTGACGCAGGCAGGCGATCTGCAGCATGGAGGCCACGCGCCACACCTCGATGACGTTCCTCTCGTCCAGGATGTCCTTGCCGTTGTAGATAGCCTCCAGAATAGACGAGAACGTCTGGAAGGAAACACATTGGGGGTTGGTTTATGGTGCAGTAGGTTAAAGGTTAACAGCAACTAACCATGGCCGTATTAGAACGTTTAGAATGTTTAAAACATAAGAATGATATATATATATATATATATATATATATATATATATATATATATATATATATATATATATATATATATATATATATATATGATCTCAATGATTTTTGCTAAAAGTTCAGCGTTGTGTTGATTAAACAACAAAGTATATGAGCCAGGAGCGTTGCAACTTATTTGGCGAACGACGAGCGTATAAAACATCATCAACTTTTCACTTAGCTAAAGAAAATATTGGCCAATGCTAGTCGATGATTAAACTGACAATGACTACAAAAAAAATGAAATTTAAGGAAATAACTACGGCGGCGCTAAATTACTAAAGACGTTCCCATGGAGAGGGTCCGTTCGCCCTATTCTCCCATGAGTCCGTATATTTTAGCATTGCCATTCGTATTTTTGTTTAGTATTAAGTTTTGACATTTCTGGCAGGTTAAATAGAAATTTATTATGACGATTTCTAAATAATTAGGCTACATCAAATCTTACTTGATAACACTAGTGAGATTGGCTCCACCAAAGCTGGCATGATGAAACTAGTGCTACTAAACCTAACCCAGTAACAGTGGTGTCGCTGGTGCAAATTTTACCAGGTGAAACTGATGCCATCTAATTTGTGAAGCTTGTGAAACTGGTGCCATAACATTTGACTTGTTGAGACAGGTACCATCAAATAAATCTTACCTGATGCGACACGTCGTTCAGCTTGACACTTCGGGTTTACTCTAGAATCAATGACGTCATATTATTGTATGTACTTTTCCGGCTTTAAAACATTTCCGATGTGCCATGTTACGTCACGTTTCGTTTTCCGTTTGACTGTGAAAGTTTTTATTTTGCTTCTGTTTTCTCTATATTGCTTATTTATGACAGACAAATTTTACCTGATGCGACACGTCATTCAGCTTGACACTTTGTGTGATGGCCTCCTGCATGCCGCTTGTGAACATCGCCTGAAAGTAGTCCGAGTACGCGCACAGTATGACGCGGTGGCACGGGAACTCCACGTCATCGACGTAGATCATGACGTCACAGAACTGCCCGCCCTTGAGCCGACCTTGGATACCCTGCAGCAGATTTTGGGCAGCGATCTGCGCCCAGGTCATGTTGACACCGCTACGAGGAGCCGAAGGTTTCTGGGGGGAAACGGGAAAAATCAATAAAAGACAGTACACTCAACAAAGGACAACACCTATATAAATTTGAGGAAAAAACAACCTTCTTTTATGTCAGTGGTTCTTAGTCTGGGTTCGATTGAACCCCAGGAGTTCGGTGAGTTAGTCTTAGGGTTTCGGCGGAGGTCAAGAGACACACTGGACTCAGATTAGATTTTGTCAGAGCGTACGATAGCACTATTAAAAAGAGTTCAGTGAGTGCGCATATGAAACTGGTGGGTTCGGTACCTCCAAAAAGGTAAAGAGCCACTGTTCTGTGTGCCAAGGTATCAGTTTTTTTTTCATGCCGATATCTCTGTTAGGATTATGATTGTATTTAGTCAGGTCAAAGGTTAGGGTAAGGGTTATGAACTGAAGCTAGAGTAATAACTAATGTTTATCAGGAAACATTGAAGAATATAGCCTACCCATCAATTTTCTTTTCTATAAAATGCGTTGAAATTAAAATTCGTGTATTTCAGCTTTTCTCTTGCATACTAATCGATACTCAGTCAATTTTAGTAATCACTCGTGCTGTGCAACAAAGACGAGCGACACACACACGCGCCTTCACTCAGAGATTATTACGTCATTAGCCTATCGTGTAACCTAGTTATGCAATGTGTACTCATCAAAATCAGTAGAGTACTTGTATAATGTTGGTGGAATCTAAATCAGTAGATTACTTGTATAATGTTGGTGGAATCTAAATCAGTAGAGTACTTGTATAATGTTGGTGGAATCTAAATCAGTAGATTACTTGTATAATGTTGGTGGAATCTAAATCAGTAGAGTACTTGTATAATGTTGGTGGAATCTAAATCAGTAGATTACTTGTATAATGTTGGTGGAATCTAAATCAGTAGAGTACTTGTATAATGTTGGTGGAATCTAAATCAGTAGAGTACTTGTATAATGTTGGTGGAATCTAAATCAGTAGAGTACTTGTATAATGTTGGTGGAATCTAAATCAGTAGAGTACTTGTATAATGTTGGTGGAATCTAAATCAGTAGAGTACTTGTATAATGTTGGTGGAATCTAAATCAGTAGATTACTTGTATAATGTTGGTGGAATCTAAATCAGTAGAGTACTTGTATAATGTTGGTGGAATCTAAATCAGTAGAGTACTTGTATAATGTTGGTGGAATCTAAATCAGTAGATTACTTGTATAATGTTGGTGGAATCTAAATCAGTAGATTACTTGTATAATGTTGGTGGAATCTAAATCAGTAGAGTACTTGTATAATGTTGGTGGAATCTAAATCAGTAGAGTACTTGTATAATGTTGGTGGAATCTAAATCAGTAGAGTACTTGTATAATGTTGGTGGAATCTAAATCAGTAGATTACTTGTATAATGTTGGTGGAATCTAAATCAGTAGAGTACTTGTATAATGTTGGTGGAATCTAAATCAGTAGATTACTTGTATAATGTTGGTGAAATCTAAATCAGTAGAGTACTTGTATAATGTTGGTGGAATCTGAATCAGTAGATTACTTGTATAATGTTGGTGGAATCTAAATCAGTAGAGTACTTGTACAATGTTGGTGGAATCTAAATCAGTAGAGTACTTGTACAATGTTGGTGGATTCTAAATCAGTAGAATAGTTGTACAATGTTGGTGGAATCTAAATCAGTAGAATAGTTGTACAATGTTGGTGGAATCTAAATCAGTAGAATAGTTGTACAATGTTGGTGGATTCTAAATCAGTAGAATAGTTGTACAATGTTGGTGGAATCTAAATCAGTAGAATAGTTGTACAATGTTGGTGGAATCTAAATCAGTAGAATAGTTGTACAATGTTGGTGGATTCTAAATCAGTAGAATAGTTGTACAATGTTGGTGGAATCTAAATCAGTAGAATAGTTGTACAATGTTGGTGGAATCTAAATCAGTAGAGTACTTGTACAATGTTGGTGGAATCTAAATCAGTAGAGTACTTGTACAATGTTGGTGGATTCTAAATCAGTAGAATAGTTGTACAATGTTGGTGGAATCTAAATCAGTAGAATAGTTGTACAATGTTGGTGGAATCTAAATCAGTAGAGTACTTGTACAATGTTGGTGGATTCTAAATCAGTAGAGTACTTGTATAATGTTGGTGGAATCTAAATCAGTAGATTACTTGTATAATGTTGGTGGAATCTAAATCAGTAGAGTACTTGTACAAGAAAGTCTATCCCCTCCCCCCCAAAGTTTCAAGCCGCCCCCTTCCCCTCGGAAAAAAGTCTGAAAGAAACACTGGGGAAGAGGTGGGTGTCGGCGCTAATAAAAGTATATATTTTCTGTATAAATTATATATATTTTCTTTTTTATTCGGGAGGGTGTGGGGGTGGCGGTGGTTGACGCGCATGGGGGGGGGGCAATTGACAGTTTGACACTATACATGTCAGAAACGCTATCATACATCAACCTGCAACCCACATAAAGATCTACTGTGCTGCTAACTCTAGCCGAAGAAGACAGTAGAGTTTTCACTAACTACCGGCATCAATGTGTGCTCGTGACTATCAGCTTCGCATAACATTGGCTGGAGATGTCGATGTAACGATCGACTTAAAAACAGCGGGATGGAAAAATTAAACACGCAATTAGCGAAACAAACAATATCCCTGTGTGTGGGAGATATTTTTTTCCTCCTAGATGAGTACAGATTTAACTGGCGTGGTGGGTAATGAAACAAAGGCTGGGGGGAAAAAAAACTACCGCTGTGGTGGAACTTTCTGAAATATTGATTTTTTTTAAACGTTTAATGATGATACATGTATTAAAAAGTTAATTTAAATAAAAAATTTACATTTTTTTTCGATGAACACACTACTCCATAACTGATAAAACATTGTGTTTACAAGCTTTTAAAAAAAATAGATGATAACTGAGTAACTTATTTTATAATTAAAGAAACAGATGACTTTGAGAGAGAAGTTTGTTAAGGACTAGAACTGGTAAAAATGTATTTAATAATTTTTGTTTTGGTGATGTGTGACGATTGAGGTGGGGGGGGGGGGGTTGAAGTAAAAAACGCTTTCTAAAAGCGTGGATTTTTATTTATGGATGATCCCTTATAAATAACATTTACAGTTTTTTTACAGTACCATTTTATCAAAAATTTATAGTATAGAAACCCATCATTAACAATATGCTCTAAAAACATTTTGAACTATGTTAAAATAAACAGTAAACGCGAGTAGCCATAGTTTCTGATTAGGAGGGGATTGAAAAGTAACGGGTGTGATAGGAAAAAAACTTTGTGTTATTCCAAAGGCCATTGCAGTACAAAGTAAAGAAAATAATAACGACTACACATACTGTAGATTTATATTGACATTTCGTTCACTTGAAGTTAATAATCAGTGCTGATATAAAACATGTATGCAATGAATTAATTAATAAAACATTGTGGGTTTTTTTTTTCAATATCAACCTCCATCACTAAAATACATAAAAAGAAATTAAAATTTAAGAACATTCATGTTAGATCAATCATCATATTTTTCCTTTTTGTGCCCCAAGACACATGGAGTCCCAAAGAAAACTCCCTCCACTTTTGTTGGTCACAGTCAATTTTCATTGCAGTCCCCCCCCCCCCCCCCCACTACAGTCCTGCCTCTGCCAGCTGCTTCCCCCGCCGTGCTTCCCGGCCTTCCTTGCAATCGTTTTTTTCTTTTTTTGCAGTTTAGCAGTTCATCTGGATTCATTCTTAGAACGTGCCCCATCCAGCGCCATCTTTATATTTGACGATTAAATTTGGAAACTGCTACCCTTTCCATCTCTCCTTATCGTTGAAGATGGACTTAAGACCATTAGATGCATTTCATCATTCGCTAGCACTTAGTTTGGAAAGAGTCCAGTAATATATGGGTGGCGGCTAGATCAATAATTTGTTAAATAATACTTTGCTATTTTTTTTTAAAAAGTTGCTTGAATATAATATGTGCGTTAATAAACAAGATGGCTGCCTCCATAAGGTATATCGATTACATAGTTTTAATTACGCCGTTTTTTTTTCTACCGTAATATTTTTTCTATCCAGAAGATCTGTCGTGATAATTATTCAACGAATATTTCAGTCGTTTTATTAAAGGCCTTAAGTCACACACACAACCCCCCCCCCCCATTCCAGTTTGTTAATAGAAATTGATTTATATATTTCAATGTTGATCGAGCTCAGAGAATATTTTAAAAAGAAATCGATGTTCCTAAAAACAAAAATTGCAATTTTAGGGGAAGGGGTGAGGTTGTAGGCTGAATTGTGACGACAGTTTTAGGGGGAGGTCTAGATTTTCGTGATGTGTGACGATGGAGAGATGGAGGTAAAACTCGTTCAAAAAAGAGCTTGACGTCATTTATAGACGATCTCTTGGCGAATGGTCGTTTATAGTTGGAGCGGCATTTTGATTGCGCGCAGTAGCACTAACATACTGTCATGGAATATAACATAGCGACTATAGCGCATCATAATCAGTGGTAATATTGTAATATTAATTAAATAATTAATTAAACCATGAAAGGGGTCACCCATAAATGACGTCACGCTTTTTTGACGATTGTTACCTCCTCCCTCCCCTCCGTCACACATCGTCACAAAAAGCCAGAAACCCCACCCCCTAAAATGACGTCATACCTCAGCCTACACCCCCCCCCCCCCCTCAAAATTGCAGTTGAATTTTTCTTAAAACAGCTATATTTTCCCCAAATTTGTCTGAACTCTGTCAACATAGAGTATTTTAATCAATTCCTATTACACTTGATTAAAACAGTTTTATTAAAACGCAAAATAACGGCTAAAATTTCCTTTCTAGCATTGCTTTTTATAATGCAAAAGTGTGACCATCTGAACACCCCCCCCCCCACCTTCCCACACCCATCCCCCACATCACACACCGTCCCAAATTACGGACCCCCCTCCCCCCTATGTAATTTATGGACGACCCCCAAACTTTACCCCAACCTAACGGTCGTCAACCTTTCATTAAGTGTAATAGCTGGTAACTCTCAAAACAATAAATGTTTTTAACGAAGAACCAAACCATCACATAGTTTTCATATAATTTTGGCAAAATAATATTTTAAATACAAGTTATTCTTCAGACCATCGCCTTAACCCTTTGAATGTAAAGAATTACATTTGAGCTTATTCAGAGGCGTAGCGAAGGGGGGGGGGGGGGGGGGGGGGGCAGGGGGGTACATATGTCCCCGGGCGCCGACCTTAGGGGGGCGCCAAAATGGGTTGGAAAAACAAATTAAAATATCATTTTAGCTGCATTTTTGCTTTATAAATATAAAAAAAATATATGAGGTGGGGAGTTGTGGAAATCGAAAGTTCGAGGGGGGGGGGGGTGCAAATCGAAAACTGGAAGGTTGATCCCGAAGGGGGCGCCAAATTGAAAGTTTGTCCCCGGGCGCCGGGAAGGGTCGCTACGCCCCTGAGCTTATTCTTCAGACCATCGCCTTAACCCTTTGAATGTAAAGAATTACATTTGAGCTTATTCAGTAAAAAAAAATGTAGGCATGCTCGGTTAAAGGTAAACATTCGCTACTAAAGTCTGCGCCACGTTTCAAAACACACAAAAAGGCGTTAATATAAAACAGTAAATCTATTACCGTGTAAATTACTTGAATGTAAAACTGAAACTAAAAAACAGTCTTAATGTATTCGGTGTCACGTGACTTAATGTCGATCGTTAACTACGACTTGACCTTTTGATACTTTCTGTCGCTGCAACAGAGATTTATCTCCCCTTCTTACCCATTATCTCCCCTTTCCTTTGTTGACATTTTCCATGTTATTATTATCTCGCTTTAATTATATGTTTTGTTTCTTGTAAACATTGGTTGAAAACAAAGATGAACGCCTTGTTTTGTAAACTATTGATATGTATTGAATGTAAATAAAATGGTTCAAAAGGTGTTTCTATGGGCGGAGGGGAGGGGGTCATTATAAATGACTTTACTCAGTCAGTGTGTGTTGAGGAGGGGGCGGAATTCTGATGTATGTGACGTTGAGTGCATACTGATATATGTTAGAAATAAAATAAAAAACACCGAACAGTACGTGGATTTACTTTAAAATCTGGTCATTTAAGCGAAACACGGGGCATTAGAACGTCATACTATTAGACTACGCATTTTTTTGTGACGACGTATTGCTATAGTGTGGTGGGTTGCAGTAGGCGGCAGTGTTTCCTCCAGACTTTTTTCTCCGGGGGGGGGGGGGGCACTTGAAATTTTCGGGGGGGGGGCGGCGGACACTGTTAAAAGTATATATTTTCTATATAAATTATATAAATTTCATTTCGTTCGGGGGGGGGGGGCGGTAAAAAAAAAAATTCGCCCCCCACCCCCGAAGAGATGCCTGGAAGAAACTCTGGTAGGCGGTGAAATCGTCTAAAACAGGGGTCGGCAACCTTTTGAAGCGGAAGAGCCAAAAGTTACAATTTTCAAAATTTCCCTGGTTTTAAAGAGCCACTAACATTTTTTATATCAAATATATTATTTTTTTATTAAGATTATTAGTATTTGTGCAAGGAGCTGGAGAGCCGCATCTTGACATCAAAAGAGCCGCATGCGGCTCGCGAGCCGCAGGTTGCCGACCCCTGGTCTAAAACGAAATGTGAGTGTATTGGTATTTGAACTGTTCGCGTTTGTGTTGCGAAATGTGATGTCTTTAAGGAAGCCCAGCCTACCAGTGGCGTAGCGAGGTCGGGTGTCACCCGGTGCGGCACTTAATGGTGTCACCCCCCCCCCCCCCCAGAGGCGTAGCGACCCTTCCCGGGGATAAACTTTCGAACTTTCGATTTGCACCCCCCCCCCCCTCAAATTTTCGATTTGCACCCCCCCCCCCCCACCCTCAAGTTTTTCTCTATATATTTTGCTATTTTTTGCCTTGATGTCACCCCCCTAAATGGTGTTACCCGGTGCGGTCCGCACCCCCGCCCCCCCCCCTCGCTACTCCTCTGCAGCCTACTGTGTGCGAATGTCCCGATTTACTTTTAGAGATGGCCAAACAAACACAGATTATTCTAGAATAACAGACATATCAAGCTGGAGCTGTTGGAAATAACACCAGTTCCATTTCTAATGGTATATCAACCAGCTATGTTGTTTTTCTTAATTAATCGTTTTGTGCAAAAGCAAGAGACGTTAAACCACGTCTAGGTGAATTGGTATACGGTAACATGGTATATGGCAATATGGTAATATGGTAAGGTGGTATATGGTAAGATGGTATATGTTAAGATGGTATGTGGTAAGATGGCATATGGTAAAATGGTATATGGTAAGTGGTAAGATGGTATATGGTAAGAGGGTGTATGGTAAGATGGTATATGGTAAGATGGTATATGGAAAGATGGTATATGGTAAGATGGTATAATGGTAAGATGGTAATATGGTGTATGATAATATGGTATATGGTAAAATGGTAAGATGATATATGGTAAGATGGTATATGGTAAGATGGTATATGGTAAGATGGTATATGGTAAAATGGTATATGGTAAGATGGTATATGGTAAGAGGGTATATGGTAAGATGGTATATGGTAAAATGGTATATGGTAAGATGATATATGGTAAGATGGGAGTTTGTAAGATGGGAGTCGGTAAGATGGTATATGGTAATTGCAGTCATGTTCAGTCACATTTTGCCTTAGTAAAATTAAAAATATAGGTATACACACACATGTTCTAACTCCTCTTTTCAAAACATTTCACATCAAGGCTTTAGACTTTTTTGTTTGTTTTCATTAACATTTCAATATTAAAGGCTTGGTGAAATTAAATTGTTGTGTAATAATGGCCACGATTTTTTTTAGCCATGATGACTAAGGGGATTAATAACCCTAACTCACGTTAGGGAAAGTAAAAAAAAAATAATAATGTTTTAAAATAATCGCTCTACGAGACGTCCATTACTGAAGTAGGGTATTATTTGCTGATTTAACCCGCACCACAACTTCATCCTTTATTGAAGGTTAATTCCCCCCCCCCCCCCCCCCCACACACACACATTTACTTCTCCTCCAGTTAAAGGGTTCAATCGTTTACACGTTATTCATAATTAGTTAGCTGTACGCCATGAATCCTACGTTACATTCCTAAGCCCTTTCTCTTCCATACACTCGGTACCGAAGCAGTGAATTGTAACTTATTTCAACCCCCCCCCCCCCCACACACACACACATTTACAACACTTCTCCCAGTTAAAGGTTTCAATAGTTAACACATTTTTACTAATTAGTTAGCTGTACGTAATGAATCGTACGTTACATTCCAAAGCCCTTTCCCGTCCACACTCGGTACCCAATTGTAACTTATGTCAGACCCCCCCTACCCCTCCCCCTATCCAAACTTGCATACTGTCATTTATTTTAGACTATATTTAGACAGGGTCTAGTGGTCTTTTGATGAATAGGCGTGTTGCTTAGTGTGACACTTTTTTGGATAAAAGAGATAAAAGTAGGGGATTTCCCGAACCTGTATAATTTATTTATAGAAATATCTTATATTTGGATGATTGTCACAATTTCAAGCTTAATGTTATGTGTTGTGCATTTATTATAATCACGAAGGGGGCAAGGGGTTATATTTTGTAATATAGTTACTATTTTCTATATAGAGTAATCTTAAACTGATATAGAAATCTATGTTGATTTGTCATTTTCATTTTTGCTTACACATACTAATGTTTATGACAAGCCTTTCTGGATTTAACAAATGATAACAGTTGCTATGGATATGTAAATAGTTCGATTTCCACTAAATTATTACTTTTTTTTTTGTGGAACCAAATTTTGTTGCGAAAAAATGGTTGGAGGGGGAGGGGGACTATTCCTAATAGCTAGAACTAAATTTGTTATAAAATATGCGAGATGATGTTCTTTGGAAATATTAGGCCTATATATTATTATATAAGGGGAGGGAAGAGAAGACAGGCTTTGTGTTCACTTCGTTTTTAACGTTTTCGATTAATACATGTTCAAAATATGTTCTATAAGTATATTATTTATTTATCATTTACCTTGTCATAACCATTGGCTTAAGTAAAAAAAAAGTTGAATTGAAAACACAGTAGTTGACCTACTTTACTAAAGCTTGAGGTCTACGCCCTTATAAAATTGTACCTACCTAAGCGAGAAAAGACAGGAATATTTGCTTTCAGGATAATCCTTAAGCTCACATACATAACCTCCTAACAATACATTAAAACAGTTTAAAATCCCCACAATCTACTATCACAACACACGACTAGATACAGACTGACTAGAAGTCCATGCTCCGGTGCCACACTGCGCACGCATATTATCTCGTCTGCTGTTTGCAAACATTGGTAATCGATTAAACGCCGGCCTTATCTTTGTATGACAAGCCGCGTGGACTCGACTACGCAACATAGGCAGTTTCGAGATTATGAATTCCGTCATGTCAACGCGATACCCGACTTTCTTAGTGATATTGACAACCGATACTTATGCAAAGAGATCCGTATCTTTTTTTCCCTCCTCCCAGTCACGTGACAAGATGACGATCGATAGCGTTATTTATAGAAACAGGTGCGCTAACTAAGGGCGATAAACAAAACATTCCTTACGAGATACATTTTATTTTTATTGTCTTTCTTAGATTAAAACTAAAGAAGCATAATATTATTTAAAGATTATTATTAACAACATTTAAAATATGAAAATACATAACAACAAGTTAAATAAGTTTTAAATTTTAATGCAATTAATAGGAGAAAAATAACTTATTTTCTTTAGCATTAATAATCTAAAAAATAAAATTAAAAAGGCGCTTTTAAACATTTCAATCAGTAACTTGGCAGCATTTGATTGGTGACACAAATGAATAGACTAATCATATGTCAGTGGCATACTTTGTCAGTCAGCTATGCGCTAAGATATAACATGGCAATGGTTATGTCAAAATACAACATGCGAGTCTATGCTGAACACACATAATATCGTAACTGAAGATGCGATGACACATCATGCAACTATGTATACATATATATATATATATATATATATATATATATATATATATATATATATATATATATATATATATATATATAATTGGTATAATAGTGCATACAAATTTTAACAAGTGTTTAAATTAAAAGTAAATTTTGTGAGATAAAAAAATAAATAAATTCAGTACTAATTTCCTTAACCAGTAAAATTTTATGTGATCCTTTTTTGGGTTGCCATACTTGATGCAGTTGTTTTCCTGTTAACTTTTAGACTTTGGCCCATTTAGCATCGTGTATTTTGTTACGGGATAAAGGTTTAGCGTTCGTTTCACGGCGACTGTCGCAACTGTCATTTCGCCAAAGGGCCGTGACCTCGTCAAATGTTTTTCCTTTGGTCTCCGGGACTTTGTAGAAGGTGAAAATAAAGAACAGGACCAACAGCACGGTGAATGGTAGGAAGGTGTAGTTCTTTAGTCCAGCCTGGAATAGTAGAACGGGTTTTTTTTAAATAAAGGCTTTATAGAACTTTGGTAACGAAAGGAAAAGGCAAAATATACCCATCATCCATTACAATACAGGACCGATGCACGGTGGATGATAGAAAGATTTAATCTTATGGCCCAGCCAAGAATAGTTGGGTATGTTGTATAATAATGGCTTTATTAACCTTGCTTAAAGTAGGAGGGAAGATGAATATTATGCCCCTCATTCATTATAAAACAAGATCAAGAGTTTGCTAAAAAAAAAGCAATAAACCGCAAAGGGTGTCCGGAAAGATGCGCAACGGAAAACTGCGCACAAAAAAAGTGCGCAAGGGCATTTTCTTTTTCTTAAAAAAAGAGTGACTACATGTATACTATAGCATAATAAAACATTTCCACGAAATATGACAAAATTTAAGCGTATATAATTAGTTTGTATTTGCGCATTTTCCGTTGCGCAGTTTTCCGATTGCGCCTTTTTCTTGAAACCGCCGCAGAGATCACACTAATAAGCATCTCACACAAAACCCCACCCCCACATATGGCCACTGTGAGGGTTACCTGGAGACTAGGAAACACGAACCCAACCAGAAAACTGGAAACCCAGTTGACCAACACACAGACGGACATGGCCGTAGGTCGGGCATCATGGGAGAATAACTCTGAGACGATCAGCCAAGGGATGGAACCTGTACAGAGTAACGACATTGTTAACTCAAAAAAAAGTATCAGCTAATTAACACTAACTCTACAACAGTAACTTTTTTAAATTGATTTAATTAAAGACTGAGATTTCATAAATTTTAGGCAAACAGCGTAAATAAAAGTGTTATGCTCTAGTTTATCGTTGATTTAAAAGCTAAAACCTACAAACTATCTGGCCAAGAATTACGTCTGCGCAGCTTAAAGTGTCTTTTTTCCTCTCAATTAAAATATAGCAGTAATATTACTGATAAGAAAGAGTGGTCTAACAGGAGAGCGCTAGACTGCTAACCCAAAATCCTCGAGTTCGAATCCGGGTTCAAATCAGTAGAACGTCCATGAGTCCACCCATCTCTAACGGGTACTTAACTCACGTTAAGGAAACAAAGGCGGCTGATGTCGAGTAAACAGATGAACTCTACTTCATCTGCCCCATGTGTCTTGGGCACAAAATGGAAAAGATTATGATTCTTAGTAATTACTAACCCGTGCCAACAGCGAAGAGGACCAAGCGAAGTTCTAATACTCACAAAAGCAATGGAAAAAATACCAGTAATATTTTTACTTGACCCTAAAACTAAAACTCACCCGGACCGAGAGCGAAGAAGACCACATACAGCAACATGAGGACAATGCTGGCCACATCAAACCACGACACGGAGCCCTAGATGACACAGAGAAGACAGCAAGTATATGGTCAGCGGTCAACACGTAACCATAACCCGACTAATGTAAGGTCGAGATCAGTTCTGTAGTGAACAATGACTAGACTATATAGTCGAGAGCACTTCTGTAGTGAAGGGACGGGGTGGCCTGTAGAAAGCTGGTCTGCTAACCCGTAAGTCTCGAGTTTCGAATCCGGGTTCAAGTCAGTAGACCGTCACTGAGTCCACCCAGCCCTGACGTTAGGGTAAGTAAAGGCGGCTGTGCATAGTGCTGACCTCACTATATCCTCATATGCCGAGGTCACAGAAACAAGTGAACTCTACTTCACTTGCCAAATAGACCGTCAGGTTTAAAAGGCAACTTTTTACTTCTGTAGTGAACAATGACTAGACTATATATTCGAGAGCACTTCTGTAGTGCTAGCACTTTTACGTGTTCACCCTGTACCAAGACTAGACTATATAGTCGAGTACAGTTCAGTAGTGCTAGCTGCTGTGTTTAGTCTGGGTGTAAGGAGTATGCATTATACCAGCTTTAATGTTATGCCATCATTTAAACATGTACTATGCAACATTGGTTTCTACGATTCAAAGCCCTCTTTGCACAAAGGCCTTTGTGAACAATCGCTAAATTTGAAACTTGATTTGTTCCATAACTTTTCAGTTTTTGAGTAGTTCTTGCTAATATTACCTAGCGCTATTTTTTTAATTAATAGAGGAAATAATTTATTTCCGATACTGTTTTTAAAAATCGAAACATATATGAGGAAATAAGGTTTAGAGTCAGTGTAAGAAATACAAATAACCACGACAGTTGATATAAAAATGAATTTCCAATTCACCAGCTGCCTCTTGTCGTAATTTGGTCAAGCAAGCATTTACTCTAGAGTAATTCACACAAAAATGCCATGCCACTCTTCCCCCTCCACCACCAACATCATTGCCTTTAACCTCCAAAAAAGCATACAAAAAAGTACAATATTTGGTGTAAAGGGTCGTCCATAAATGACGTCACACTCGTAGGGAGGAGGGGGTTAGTAATTTTGTTTTAGCCGTTATTTAATAAATTGTAATATAAATTGATAAAAAATACTCTATGTTGACAGAGTTCAGACAAGACTTTGTAAAAATATCGATGTTTTAAGATAAATTCAACTGAAATTTTTAGGGGGGGGGGGGGGTGTAGGCTGAGGTGTGACGTCATTTTAGGGGGAGGTCTGGCTTTTGTGTGTGACGGAGGGGAGGGAGGTAAAAATCGTCCAACAAAGAGTGACGTCATTTATGGACGACACCCAAACTTTAAGTCGAGCAGCTGTCAAAATGAAGTTTCAACATTTACTTGCAGCCCGCTTGACTTGAGTGCACTGTATGTACTCCTGAAGGTGTATGAGAAATAGAGTAACAGAGAGCAATAGAAACAGAGAGTATCTTGTATTAGAAGCCACATGACCTACACGTAGAGCCAGGGCGATGGTTATAACAAGGCTAAAGACGGCCATCCCCCCCAGTCCAGTCAGGTGAAGTGTCCTCCTGCCCACCCTGTCCATCAGCGGGATTGTGATGATTGTCATGGCAACCATGATGCCACCCACGGCACTGGTGATGTATTTGGCGGTTGGCTTAGACAGGCCAGCGTCCTCAAACAGGCTGGTGGAGTAGAAGAAGACCTGCGGGACACATTGGAGTTAAAACGATTTAATTGTTCCATCAGTAAACATTTGAGTAGGATCAATTTAAATTATTCCATCAGTAAATATTTGAGTAGGATAAATTTTAATTACTCCATCAGTAAACATTTGAGTAGGATCAATTTAAATGATTCCATCAGTAAATATTTGAGTAGGATAAATTTAAATTATTCCATCAGTAAATATTTGAGTAGGATAAATTTTAATTATTCCATCAGTAAACATTTGAGTAGAACATGTTTTGTTTTATCAGTAAATATTCGAGTAGAAAATGTTTTAATTACTCCATCATTAAACATGACAGTAGTAAATGAGAAATATTTTAATTATTCTTTCAGTAAACATTCGAGTTGACATTTTTACCTATATTTCAGTAAATAATAGTTCAGCAAGTTAAGCTTTTAACAGTTAGTCAATTAAATAATAAAATTATTTTATAAAATTATATATGAACCAGTTAAAGACCTATTTCAAAAAACTCTGGAAATCAATATCTATCAACTACCCTCCAAGCTTCATCCTTTGAGAACCGACAACAGTTATTTGATTTTATTTGAAGAACTACATCCGGAAACGTATTTGCTTTTTTCGTACATTTCATTTTCTAAAACTTCTTTCTTTTTCGCGTAAAAATGGCATAAAATAATACAAATTACTCAATATTCACGTCGTTTCTGTGTATGTCAGGTGTGTTGTACCTGTGTGTGTCCTATGTCGCACGGTTTTAAAAAAAACACCTACACCGTTTATTCCTGATAACTGCTGCGACAACTGCATGACAACACCAATCAACATGGGCGTCCGCAGAGAAGGTGATCTGAACAGCTGTAGGATCGAAATCTGCGCAAGTGGTAAATACATTACGTGAAAAATAATGCAGATGACAATAAGAAGAAAAAATATTTTGGTTCACGTCAGATGGATGCTCGAGAGGCTACCAGACCAGATGTGGGTACAGTAAAGAAGGCTGGACATAGCTGTTCACGTCATCCCTTTTTTTTTTTTTTTTTTTTTTTGAGAAACAGGTGAACTACTTCATCTGCCCGCAATTACTTCACGTATAAAAGATAGGCCTATACTTTTATGAAAAGAAGGTTATAGAGTGATCGATTTGTATGCTGCTCAAAGGGATACTTTTTTCATGTTCGGCTCGGGGCTCTAGGTTATAGGACCCCATACTAAACTACCCAGGATACAACAGAAAGTTTTAGACTGCTCATACTGTACTGGACCCAATCGTATGTTAAGCTGCGGTCACAGAAACAGATGCTGTAGATCAACTCTCTGCAGAGGCGTAGCGACCCTTCCCGGCGCCCGGGGACAAACTTTCAATTTGGCGCCCCCCCCCCTATTATTTTTATATTTATAATGCAAAACTGCAGCTAAAATGAGCTTTTAATAAAAAAAAATTTCAACCCATTTTGGCGCCCCCTAGGGTCAGCGCCCAGGGACATATGTACCCCCCCCCCTCGCTACGCCTCTGACTCTCTGTGACATACAGTCTTTCGGACTTCTATTTATTCATATCAGCCACTTTACTTTACTTTAAAAGCTTGCAACTCCCACCAAGAAACATGTATCAGAAAGCACTAAAAATAAAGTCGAACTTTAAATTCTAATACTACTCATACACGACTCCTGGACTTGCATGACACCATCTCCTGTTTGATTTCATCGATTTCATCTTCTATATCTTCATCACCACGTAATTTTAAAAGTGCTGGGTAATAAAATGATTATGTTAATTGGTCATAGTTTTATACAAGTAGCCTACATAAGAAAATGTATATTTATTTACATAAATTGAATCCGAAGCACACAAAAGCACACACATACACACAACTCACTCGACTTCACGATTGTGTTTAATCCTAACTACCTAGTCTTACGAGGTAACTATATTTACTCGATCTACATGTGCTACTTGAGATTCCCATCTATTATTATTTTTTAAAATAGCGGTTCATTTAAGCGCTAATTATTATAAATGTTATTGTTTTATATTAGTTGTATTTTTATTTGTCCCCATCACATAGAACTAAAAATATTTCCGTTCAATCAGATTAGTAGATTGCGATCTCCAAAGGACAAGAATCATCACATTCTTAGTCCGGGCTCGGCTTTCAGTTGAGAAAACACCTAGCCGTGACGAACGGCTGTCGTTGGCTAGCAGATACAGATCGTTGTATTTAATCTTTTTATCAACCCTTTTATTATTTGAATTTAATAATCTTTAAATAAAATTTTGATTAATTCTAATGTTAAATTAGGTATTCTTGCATTATCATCGGGGATGAATGAATCTGGAAAGTTGTAGTGAGATGGATGAGTTAGAAGTGTGTTAAAATGGACTTGCAAGATTTGCCACAAACCAACACATAACAAACAAACAGTCATTGTGGAATAAATAAAAAAATATAATAATTACTAATAAAACAATGTATTTAATTTAGTCTAAAGCTGTTTTCCCCCATATTTTAAATTTCATCGAACTCTGCTTTTATAATGTTTTAAAAAATCAAATCCGCTTTCTGTCGTTTAGATTTTCTCTTCCCCCAACCCCCACCCCTAAAGTGTTAATGATATTGTGATAAAACTACTGCCGACGTGTATGCGACTGGTCTAACGGTAGAGTGATGCATATACAGTCACTAAGGACTAAGGGTTAGTTCGCATTGACTGTATGCGATATGGATCGAGGGTATGTGCTCTTGTTTTCTTTGTTTGTTTGAGAGAATGTGTATATTCAATAATCATTGAATAATGTGAGTATGTCGCAACGAGGACATAATGACATCAGTGTTTCTTCCAGACTTTTTTCTCCGGGGGGGGGGGCACTTGAAATTTTCGGGGGGCGGTAGACTTTCTTCGGGGGGGGGGGGGGCGGACATTGTTAAAAGTATATATTTTCTATATAAATTATATAAATTTCATTTCGTTCGGGGAGGCGGTAAAAAAAATTCGGGGGGGGGGCTAGGTCCCCCCCCCCCCCCCCCCGAAGAGATGCCTGGAAGAAACTCTGAATGACATAGGATAATAGTCTACTACAGAGACAGATGGGACATAGCATTTCGTTTGAGGAACTTTTTACCCTCCCTGATGTCTGTCGTATATTAAACAGTGGAGCCTGCATCGAAGCGGTTAGCTTGTCTGGCCGAAGATATCCTCTTGTATAAATAAGCCAACGACAAACAACAACACATCTAAAAAGGACACGTCAAAGTGAACTCAACACGTCAGCAAGAGCACATTAGACAAATGTCAACAGCACATCAATAGCAGCACGTAAAGGACAACACATCTACATCAGGAACAAGTCAAACAGGAACACGTCAACAGGAACACGCCAACAGGAACACGTCAACAGGATCACGTCAACAGGAACACGCCAACAGGAACACATCAACAGGAACACGTCAACAGGAACCAGGAACACGTCAACAGGAACACGTCAATAGGAACACGTCAACAGGAACACGTCAACAGGAACACGTCAACAGGAACACGTCAACAGGAACACGTCAACAGGAACACGTCAACAGGAACACGTCAACAGGAACACGTCAACAGGAACAAGGAACACGTCAACAGGAACACGTCAACAGGAACACGTCAACAGGAACACGTCAACAGGAACACGTCAACAGGAATACGTCAACAGGAACACGTCAACAGGAACACGTCAACAGGAACACGTCAACAGGAACACGTCAACAGGAACACGTCAACAGGAACATGCCAACAGGAACACGTTAACAGGAACACGTCAACAGGAACCATGGAACACGTCAACAGGAACACGTCAATAGGAACACGTCAACAGGAACACGTCAACAGGAACACGTCAACAGGAACACTACACCAGGAACACGTCAACAGGAACACGTCAACAGGAACACATCAACAGGAACACGTCAACAGTAATACGCCAACAACACACACAAACAATTCACCGAAGTACACTTAGATGGACAACTGTTACTATACCTCTCCCACTAATCCATAATTTTATAAGGGCTCATGGTCATCATACGCATTACTAATAAGCTACCCACGTGTCGCCCGTAAACATCCGGGTTTGTTGTTTATCATAGAGAGAATCAAAAATCAATATTTCTTTTTAAGTTACAGATAATATCTTTAAAAAGTAAAAAATATACCATCTCGACATTTTTTCTCGTCCTGTTTGGTAATGAGCAAGTACCGGGGACTCTCCGGGCAAAAAGGTAGAATAAGTGCTTGCAGCAGACACGGCCCCACCGACAAACCTGTCAGTCAAGTGATTAGGTTGTTGGTTTATGGTCAGTCGTAAATAGAGATCTTAGAGGGAAGCTAATTAGAAGTATCGATTAATTGACATGCATAATTTATATAGTAATTATGGGAAATAATTATTCGCTTTTAGACTTTATAGATGTATATGCATTTCTATGTATACTATATATGCAACAGTTTATGTCAGCCATATCTTTGGGTACTGCCCCTGCCCCGAAGCACATCTACCGATATGAAAAATACATAATTTTTATAGAAAAAAATTTACTGTAACGAGCGTAAGGGTAAGTGAAGTAGAGTTCACTTATTTCTGTGACCTCGGAATATGAAGCGATAGCCGCCTTTACTTTCCATAACGTGAGTTAGGTACCCATCAGTGTTGGGTGGACTCAGGGACGGTCTACTGACTTGAACCCGGATTCGAACTCGAGACTCAGCAGTCCAGCTCTCTACCGCTAGACCACTCCGCCTCCTGTTGATGTCACCACATAAATGGTGTCAGCTGATGCGGACCACTTCCATTCTTTCCCCCGACCCATCCCCCGCGACGCATATATACATATATATATATATATATATATATATATATATATATATATATATATATATATATATATATATATATATATATATATATATATATATATATATATATATATATACTAGCTGCATCCCGTGCTCCGCCACGGTAAATCTTTTTAAATGTACATTTTTGGAACAGAACAAAACGAACAAAAACACAACACAAACATAAACACAAACAAAACACAACCACAACACAACCACAACACAACCACAACACAACCACAACACAACCACAACACAACCACAACACAACACAACAACACAACCACAACGCAACCACAACACAACCACAATACAAACAAAACACAACACAACCACAACACAAACACAACACAACACAACAACACAACCACAACGCAACCACAACACAACCACAACACAAACAAAACACAACCACAACACAACCACAACACAACCACAACACAACCACAACACAACACAACAACAACGCAACCACAACACAACCACAACACAAACACAACAAAAACACAACACAACCACAACCACAACACAACCACAATACAACCTCAACACAACCACAACACAACCACATCACAACCACAACACAACCACAACACAACCACAACACAACCACAACACAACCACAACACAACCTCAATACAACCACAACACAACCACAACACAACCACAACACAACCACAACACAACTACAACACAACCACAACACAACCACAGCCACAACATTAGAATCACCACCAAACAACACGCTTTTTTAGGCGTCCGCGCCCAAAGAGAGCCTTAATTTAAGTCACATAAATAGATCCTACTCCATAACTTACAATAAAACAATGCGATGCAAATAAATGTACGGCAAGTGGCGTTTACTTTTATGGTTCTAAGAAAACACATTGGTAATGTAATTAGAATCACCACCGAAAAACATGCTTTTTCCAGGCGTCCACGCCCAGAAAGAGCCTGTTCAGCATTCTCTATACTATAATCCTAAAATTTCACCATCTGTTAACACCGAAAAACAAAAACAAAAAATAGTGATTTTGAGAGATCATAGACTAATTAGAAAATAATATAAATAACCATAACATTTTTCTATTTTACTTATGAACCTTAACATATAATAATCAATGTGGAAGTAATAACAAAAATTAACTTAAATTATTGAGAGTGAGTTGAATATTAAAAAATAAAACACATTTTCCCATACGTCCGCGCTCAGAGAGAGCCTTTCCATTCTTCTCAAAAAGTCTAATTTCACCATCTGTTTTCATAACACCGAAAAACAAAAGCAAAAAGATAGTGATTTTTTGAGAAATCATAGACTAATTAGAAAATAATAATAAATAATATTAATAATCTTAACATTTTTCTCTTTTAATTATGAACCTTAACATATAATAATCAATGCGGTAGTAATAAACAGAAAAATTAACTTAGAATGATATTGATGAGTTAAATATATTTTCAAATTACCTCCCTTGCAAAAAATTACCAAAAAAAAAGTTGAATTAATTAGTTTCTTTGACCTACTTTCATAAAAATATATCCATTTTTTCTAGGAATATAAACGAAAATGATATTTAACATTGATTTTTTAAATATGTTTTAGCCATGTGCGTGTATTTAATATTTTATTTAAGTTATGCAAAAGAGTAAACACAGTGGCATTTATAAAATAGCTCTATGCCTCTATATAAACAAACCCTACTCTATTACCTATAATAAGACACTGCGGTGCACTGAAAAGCACAGCATGGTGCGTAGTTTACTTTTATAGTCCCAAAATCTATAGCGATGACGGACGGAAGGAAGGAAGGAAGGACAGACACAGCCCGCTTATATTATAGATATATATATATATGTAACTAGGGTAGGCCTAGCTAC